AGCACAGACAGATCCTGTAATTGATAGATCTACATGTATTTGGTAAATATGTTCTTTGTGTCTTTATTTTCCAAAATAAAAAATCAGAAAATCATATAATGATAATAGTTTTTGTTTTGCTTTATTAACATCAAATGTTGCACTCTTTGTCTTTACATTATTGGGTATGCATACATGTACATACTTGAGTTTTAAGTTTTAAATTGTACACCAGTTATTGTTTTACACTTAGAAAATTCTTTCTAGCTTAATTTTCTTTCAGAATTTTACAATTGATGTATTAAGGCAACACTACATTTTTTTCTATTGCACTCCTGACATGGTATAACATTTTTTAAACATCTGCCATGACCAAAACTAGATTAAACAAAAGTTACCGTACTTTAGAGTCCACACTTAAAACTCAATTCATTGAATACAAGTATTATCAGGAAAGTCTTTATTTTCAAAATAAACGTTTATATTTCTTACTTCACAGATCTAATTCCCAAATGTCTGACAATTTTAGCATCATTTTGGGCATAACTTTTTTGTTAACTGAGATATTGACTAGATATTTGACAGGTATTTAGACACTATCTAAAGAAATATGCTGAGACATAGACATCTATTTTCATTGCCTGTATTTTTAGTATGGGTTGACAAATATGCATTTGGTAATTTTTTTTTAATTTAACCACTTACCACCTGACCAAAAAAGACTATTAGAAAACTCTAAAATTATAACTTTAGTTCAAATACATACAATTAAATTGAAAACAAACAAAAAGAATGAATTAAAGATTGCTTTTCAAAAGAACCCAATGTTTCAATTCTATTTCACATCTCAACTTTAAAGATTAGACTTTTTATATCAACAGTCTATAACAAAAGGTATGCATTCCTTGCATGCCGTACAGACCAATGAAATGTGCATGATCAATGATAGTCCTTCAAAAAAAAAAAAAAAAAAAAAAAGAAATCCATCTCCTTAAAAAGTGCTATCGTAGTATTTTGTTCACTTCATTCAACTTATATAGTTAAATTGCACACTGATATGTATATAAATGAATAAGTATGACAGAAATGTAAAAGTTTATTTAATCAGAAGTGAGTTTCATACATGACTTAAGTAGTAATAATTCATATTGATGCAGTAACAATTACTAGTATTCTGAAAATAAAAGTTAATTTACATACCTATTTTTTAGCTATATATGTTATATTCAAAAAGAAAAAGATCAAATCCTCATTTACTGACAAAAAAAAATTCTCTGAACGTTTCGGAATTTGTAACATGTAGTTTAGTAAAATTTACTTTTGTTATGAGGAAGTTTTAATATATAATGGATCTATCTTTATTACGCAACCTTTTGACAAAATAGAGCAACAAAATGATCAAAAGAGTTAAGCAGCGCACTGACTCAAAACATCCGCGACGGGGGAGTGTATCTACACAGATCAGCAGTCTCGGAGCGTTTTTATCTTCTGTGAGATTAAATTGATTCAGCAGAAACAGATAATTGTTTTTACCGCCAATTTCAAGGGATTCGTGCTGATCTTGTATTTTGCCATTTCCATGGTTATTAAAGTTTTTACCAGCAAATTTTGTCTTGAATGATATATATTTGATATATATATTCAAATATAATTTCTTTTCTATTCTATAAGTAACATACTATACATTAGTGATCCTGATAAGTATTGTTAGTATCGATCTTCTGAAGTCAAGGTCGTCAGGCAAACGCTGTGGGGCCCTCTACTTGTTTGTTAAGGCTTGCATTTTGAGTGTTCTTTTTTTAGTCAATAAAGGTGCGCATACCTAATGGATCATGTGATTAAGAAGTCGCACGCGACTTATTTTCTTGGGTTTTTCCAAAATTTCTGGGTTCGTTCTGGTCGAACAAGAGTAAGCACGTACTTCCAGTAGGGCGCTTCTACATTGATCGCATACCTTGTCTTTTGCTTTAAGATAAGATGTATCGATCTTCTGAAGAAGAAAATAAAAATCTACCATTTCACATAAGATAACGTACTATTTCTCATTTTTAACATTGGATACCTGTATATTCATATTGTTCACACGTGTAACATTTATTTTGGATTTTGAGAGGTTTAGATAGTCAATAATTTAAGTAACATGTTTATATTTATTAGATCCGCTCTCTATTTAGTTTTGTTTCTACATCCTTAAAAGTATGGTTTATCATTTATTTTATGTTTAAAAACAGAAATGTTATTTTTTTTAATCATTTCTTTAAAGTGTCTAAAATTAATCAAGCAACGTCATGGCATTAAGCGCCATTTACCTGTCCGTTCCACTTCAAGTAATAATGTCAAGGTCATTTAATATTCGATTCAGCAAATCCTTTGAACCACGTGGTATAACAGATATGGTCTCTCTTTCCCTCTTTACCCTTATTTGGAAATTCTCTACAGCCCTATATGGTAAAACAGTCTAGTGAACGATAATGTTAAACTATATTGATAGGGATAGAAATACAATGTTTATCAACACCATGTTCCATAATCTGACTTACAATTGGCACCTATTGACCGTTTTTCTTTATGCCATATAAGGAAATGACGAAACTAGAAATTAACATGTAAACATATACAAAAGTCGGTTTCTCTGCTATTTAGTATCATTTTGTCAAAATGTTTGGACTTCTTACATTTGCTTACAGTAATCGTGTTATTGGTAAGTCTTAACCTCAGTTTGATTATATGGCATTTTAATTTAATAAATCATAGAACCCAGAACGCACGTGAGTGACTGCAGGAATTTTTTTTTTTCTGATCGAAAAATATTAATGCAAGAACAAAGCGTTTTGTGAAAAGAAATAGATACTTGATGTAGAACATCAAGCATTTGTAACGACATGAATATATAATTATACATATTGTTACAAAGCATGTTACAAACTGTGTAATGAAACCTACATGAGTTGAAATCAATCGATACTTTCCTTGATATAGTTTATTTGTGTACTTGTGCGAGTGTCGCAAATAAACATGCTTTTGCTAGACATTATCTAGACATCAATTAAAAGTGACACTAAACTAAGCCACTATAAGGTGATAAATATTTTATAATAAAAATAACAACCTTTACTAATGTAGGACTACAGAATTAGCTACAGCTATCTTTTATTGCGTTCCTGTCACAATCATTTATGTTAAGATACAATATAAGAAAAGCAAACATAAAAATGTAATATGGCCGATATATAAAATCGTTTAGTAACTAAAATATATCTTTTAAAAATCAAGATACAATATAAGAAATATCAAGCATATGACACCTAACTGGTAAATATATAATAACAGTATCATAACAATGCATTAACTGAATGTAAAAATAAATAAAAATACTTTGGTTTAAAAATATCCAGTGAAACAGAGTTTGGACTGTGTTAGTACAATTTATTCTGAAGGAATGCAGATAAAAAGCTGCATGCATGAACATTTGTGATTTTATGGGTTTTACATATAATTATTCGACCTGGTTTAACAACTGACATCTCTTGTATCATGAATCACATTTAGATAATTTAGCATTTGATTGTTTAAAATCTTAAACAGAAATATGCCCTTTCTAAACAAAAAATATTTCTTGATCATTATGAGATTTGCTCCCAAGACAGCCCTGGCTTAGTGCTTAGTTTTTGACGCCCCGCCATGACATTACCCGGGGCTTTAAGCTGCTTCATTCCGACACAGCTACCCTGTCACTTCAGCTCCATTAATTAACAACACGGAAAGACAGATTTTAAAATTCGCAGGGTCATTGTTAAGCAAAAAATGTGGAAAAAATATCGGATATTTTAAAAAAAATCTTAGGATATTGCTTCCGATGACATTTCTTACAATACTAGTATTTGATTATTCATTCATGGAGATTATAAAACGAGGTTTAATGACAATATTTAACCAAAATTCGACTTGTAGAAACAAAGTCAATAATATTAATTACCTCTTAACCAGTAATAGACTAAATTATTGCAGGTGCTATTTTATTTAAGTAAACTCTCTGCTACTCTGCGGTAAGGACTTTCATTAATTTTAAAGGATACTCCTGTTTTGTTTATACCCCATCGCTGTAAATAAAGCTGGTCCGTCTACAGGTGGAGCAATGATTTTGTGACGTGATTTGTTCATCCTTTCGGGAGCCCCTCCTTATTTGAATGCAGATCTATGTCAAATAGATGGAAAAACCAGAAATCTATTTATATCACTTTTAAACATGGCTAGAACGAAATCGATTTTGACTGGTTGAGGGGTGAGGTAATTCACGCTCTGTTAGTTTGAAACAGACAAGTTTTCATTGATAAATTTCGCCGCATGCAATTATTGATGTTTTTAAAAAAGAATAGAAAATATATAAAACACAATAATAAATTTAGGTATTAATAATATATTGCAAAAAAGGATATTCCGTATACCACGATTTAAACAGCAAATTATAATTTGTACAATAATCAAATTTAGACACGTATAGTTGTATCACGGGGGTGGGGGTGGGGGTAAAATATGAATAGTAAACGGTGCCTATAATTATTCTTCATATCAATCGTCAATATTCGAAGTGCAAGTAGTTGCTTGAAAAAATAGGAACGTATTAATTTTGCTAACACGTTCTAGTTTTCTTGATAAGCCACCTAAATATATTTATATTTGCGAATATTAGTATTCTTGATTAGCAAAAGAAAAAAAGAATTCTCCATATATATCATAAACATTGTTTCAACTTTTCAGCTATATTAGAAAGTTTTTTTAATTGTAATTTTTATAAAGAGACTTGAGCTGCTTTAAGTGGACCACAGTCCTAGGTTTTGGCCGTACAACACCGGCCGGTGTGTATTATAAGCAGACAGCGTGAGTAAGGCTCTCCCCTTGTGATTCTTAGTCATTCGTTCCAGCGTGGCGCGATCCAAGTGTACACAATCACACGTGGATATAACCGACTTCCTTCTGTTTATCGATCTGTTCTCGATCCGCTCCAATAAAATTAGAATCATAACCAGTATCTTACTATATTTTTTACTAACTTTGTGAAGTCACAATCAAAAATGAAATACTGAAATGAATCACCATTAAGATACAGAGTGATACCCCCCTTAAGAGCCACACGGTTAGCCGGGAGTTTATATACATATTCTAATTAGGGCTTAGAGTGACGTACCACCGTCATATGACTGCCTATAAATAGAAAAACACGAGCCGGTATTTAAACCACGCCGATATTGTGTTGATATTATTTCCATGACCGAGTATACAGGACGTTCGAGCAAGCTAAATAACAAAGTATTTCACAATCTTAGCGAAATAGTTTCATGACAGTGCATTCACGGGATAGCGTAGTCTGTGCTTACTTGGAATTTTTGTCGATGCTAGTGGTGAGTCTCCCGTTTTGTTTTTTTAACAAATGAAAATTAATTTACCAGCTTTGAAAACACAAGGAGATAAATGTAAATAAACAATACATTATTTGTAAACAAACGCCTTCGTAAATCACAGGTTGTATAGGTATCTCGTCAGACAAGAATAGTCTTACCATGCTTACTGCAAACTGTTGGTGGAAATTGTAAAAATATTTTTTTAAATCATAGTAAAATTTCCTATGGAGCAAATGATTGTGCTGCACAATTACCCCCCCCCCCCCCAAAAAAAAAGACTTCACATGCCATGAAAAATAGTAGGAAAGGGTTTTGATAATGCTTAATTAATATTTAATCCAAATAATTTTCATAAATATTTCATTCAGTATTTTATTTAATTTAAAATAATTTAATTTGCAGAAGACATGGTTAAGCAGGACAAAGTAGACATCCTGGACTTATTTCTTGAGAGCGGTGTGGACATTGGGCATTTTCTGTCTGAAGAAGGTCAAGCGTTTACCAGACCTCGGGTCATTATGGATGATCTAGTCCCACCCTGCACTCAGACACACATCGATCAGACTGCTGTTCTAGACAACCCCCTCTGTACTGATGTGGATTTTCTGAATGACAATGTCTCGGCTGTGGTGGAGATCAGCGAACAGGTTACTCCTCCAGTGATAGATGGTGAGGCATTGATCAATTAGTTAGCATTGATTTCTATATGTACTTATATGATATATGAAAGTCAACGCAGCATCAGTATATTAATACCCAGTAAACACTAGCACTAATTAAATACAAATAATTTTTTTTCTACATATAAATTAAAAAAAAATAACGATGTACATTGATATTGACTTGAGTTCTTTTTATCTTCAGATTCTGTACCAGAAGTGATATTAGAAAACAGCCAAAGTTCTACCTCATATCATGGCAGCATCTCTGATGGCTTCCATCACCTGGAGGAAAATGTCACAACCCAGTTCCCCTTCGACGACCTTGACCCCTCTCAGAACTTCTTTGCAGAGGAGGTCTCGGAGGCAGACCTGGACATTGACCTTAGTCCTCTACTGAAGGAAGAAATCAAACATAAGATAAAAGCAAGAAGGATTGCAGAAGGGAAGGCAGAAATCCGGGTAGAGTTCAAAGAGCCTTCTCCTGAACGGGTATGCAAAGTTATTGTGTTTTTAGTTATTAATGTAGACTGATTTAATTAGTTAGTCAAATTATCACTAAACACTTGTTTGATTTTTGCAGTTAACTCCCGAGGAAGAAGAACGTAGAAAAATAAAGAGAGAGAAAAATAAACTGGCCGCTCAAAAATGCCGGAACAAGAAGAGAAAACTAGCTGACACGCTTGAAGAGGTATGCAATTCTCAGAAGAGAAATTGAAGTGTCAACATTGAAAATCATGAATTTCTTGTGTACAACGGGAGAGGAATGAAGGGTCAGAAATGGGAGAAAAAGGGGGGTGTAAAGGGGAAGAGACTAGGGGAGGAGGGAGAGGAAAAAAGAGAAGTTCACTAAAGTGATAAATGATACACTTTGCATATATCAGCAAATTACGATAACTCTAAAAAGGGGTAATAAATAGTGAGGTACATCTAGATGTAAACACACGATGTTAACTTTGCTAGATTTTATTTTACAGGAGACATTACGACTTGAAGAAAAACAGGAGAAGTTACAGGACCAGGTGCAGAGACTGAGGGAAGAACGAGAGCACCTGCTGGACCTGCTCAAAATCCACAGCCAAGTCTGTCCCAAGATGGCCAAATTAGGATCGTGACGTCATCAACTAATACTCACTGGCGCAACATGAGTATAAGTTTTCCCCAACGAACTTGTACAAGTTTACACAAACTAACCATGTGTTTAAAGGTGCAGAAAAGTTTTATGTGAGAGACTGCATCCAAGTGACAAAAGTGGTTTCTCTGCGAACTGAACCCACCGTTTTCTATAGAGACACGTGAAGGGGAACCCAGAATTCTGATTCTTTGAGAGACTTGAATTCTAGTTCCTGTCTAAGTAAGGTCAACAATCCATATACAGTGTACTGTAAATTGTGCAAACTAGTACAACAAAAACTGACAAAAAAACATATTCTGGTATTCATTGTTAGTATTAATCAAAAGTTTGTGATTTGTTGTATATTTTTTTTATATACAGGGTGCAATAGTGTCCTTTCTGACATAATTTATTTTATCAAATAAACTCTGAGAGTTTATTTGATAAAATAAATTATATCAGAAAGGACAATAGGATAAAATAAATGACAGAACCAGGCCCCGAAACCATGGAAGCCGTTTTGGACTGTGATTAAACTTTCAGTCAAAGAAAATAATCTTTACAATGAACCTACACTTGAATTCGATAACTAGCTTGCAAAGGAGAGTTCTTCTTTTTACGAAAATTCTATGTACACACGTGTTTTCTATAATGAACTCTCAGATTGGAGTCCTTGATTGCTTCCTGATTCTGGGTTAGGCCCATATTGCTCACTTGCCAAATGTAACATTAAACCAGAAATATCAGAAATAAACTTCTAGTATAAATGGCAGCAAATTTTTATGACGGCTCTATTTGTTTGATACGATCTTTTATTTTAAAAAAAAACAATTATTGATATTTAAATTGGATGTAATAGGATAAAATGAATGACATGTGATATAAAAAAGTATTCCATGCATTGTCCCTTATTTATGAAATCTGTCATTTAAAGGGAAGCCTATGATGTAATTGCAAATTCTGAAATTGGAAATGCATTTCCATTAAAATATTTGTAAGACCTGGAATGGAATAGAATATTTGGGAAAAAATGTACTAAATATTTTTTTCTTATATTCTTGGAACTAAATCTCTAAAGGAAGGGTAGTGAAATTATATGTTCTATTATTTCAGCATTAAAATTGTTTATTACATGTTTTTACTTGAATTTCAAAACTAGCTTGAAAAGGAGAGTTCTTTTTTAATGAAAATTCTATGTACACACGTGTTTTCTATAATGAACTCTCAGATAGGAGTCCTGGATTGCTTCCTGATTCTGGGTTAGGTCCGTATTGCTCTCTTGCCAAATGTAAGACTAAACCAGAAATATTTTCAATCAAATGGCTTCTAGTATAAATGGCAGCAAATTTTATGACGGCTCTATTTGTTTGATACGATTCTTTTTTAACAAAATAATTATTGATATTTAATAATTTGGTAAATGGCAGACCAGAGACAATGAGAATTGTATTTTTATATCCAAAGTAACTAACAAGGATTCATTACGATATAGAATATTGATTGCATGTGATATAAAATCAGCTGTTTGCATTCTCTGATGTTGTCTTTGTTTATATGTTGTGTTGATGTTATTAAATTTTCAGTTGCTCATTGTCGCTTATTTATGAGATCATCAGTCTGTCATTTAAAGGGAAGAAACTCTACCCCCATGCTCTATGATGTAATTGCAAATTCTGAAATTGGAAATGCATTTCCATTAAAATATTTGTAAGGTCTGGAATGGAATAGAATATTGGGTAAAAATGTACTAAATATTTTTTCTTATACTCTTGGAACTAACTCACCAAAGGAAGGGTAGTATTTAAATTCTTTATTATATGTTTGTGCCTTTCTTCAAAGCGCTGCGCAGCATCTTAGTGGATTTCATTAAAAAAAAAAAAGTTTTCAAATATTAGAACTGTAGCTCTCTGAAAAAAATATATTGATAGACCGGAGAGCTACAGTGCCACCCATTTGAAGAAAAAAGGTAATATTTATTGCGCACAAAAAGCTGCGCTTGGTTCTGAATTAAATCTTCCAAATTCTTAATTACCCCAATTGCAAAAAAAAAACAAAACTAGATTTCAAAAAAGTCTTACTCCTCTATCAAGTACACTCGTAGTTTACATAATTATGCACAAAGCGCGTTGGACCGAATTATCTTGCAAACCAAAATGGCAGTATAAAGAAACAAAATTTTCGAAGATCTGAATTTCAAAGCCAGAAGGGATATTAACAAAAATTAGAAAGAATGTTTTATTGTGGAAACAGTGAAAAAAATATGTTAGGAACACACGGTTAGTAAAATTTCTAGATGACGGTTTTGAAAACATAGAGAAATAAATCGAGAAACAGCGCATTTTATTTGTGCGCAATAAATATACAGTTTTTTCAATGGGTGGCACTGTATCTCTCCGGTCTGTCCAAAATAAGGGGGGAAAAATCGGAGAGCTACAGTTCTGCAGTTAGTCTGGATCACAATCACCACATTGACGATATATCAACAGTTTGTCAAAGACAGAGGGCGCATTTCATTTGCATTCGGACGCACTTAAAAAGTGAAAATTTGATCGATCTGTTGGTCACACAATAGTTTTGATACAGGGTGTCAGTGATTTTAGAAATGGAAACATTTTCCTGATATTGTGTCTTGATTTTCTGAAAGAGTTTAAAAGATATGGGCAGATGAGTCATTTGGTATAAAACTTTACATTTTTAAAATATTTTTAACAACGACTTTAAAGATTATTTGCGTGAATTTATAGAAATCGTCACAAACCACAACACAACAACCAGAAAGTAACGGTAATATCATAGACATCTTATCAGAGAGAGAGAGAGAGAGAGAGAGAGAGGTCCCTAGCTGGACCGTGGATTTATACGATGAATTCAACAAAACGAGCAAACATTTGTAGAGAGATAGAAAGGATCCAAATACAATTAAAAGAATTAAAAACAATAGTTCTGTATATATACATGCCACATTGTGAAAAAGCCTTGCTATGTTTATCCTGGCTTCCCGCGGATTTGGATGTTTCACGGTAGGGGGCGTTAATGGTGATCTGACAGTGGGGTTGCTGATTTCTTTTTTTGTCATCAAGTTCCCTTGCTTGTGTAGCGGTTGTTCACTGGTCGCCTGTCAGAGGAGGTTTTTCTCCCCAATTATCATAGAAATTGTTGACCAATTCTTAACGCACTACGTTTTCCGTTAGCTCGTTTAAGGCGATCTCGTGAAAACTCTCCCCTCCCCCTCCCCATCCCCCACAAGTAGTCTGGTTGTATGGTGAGACAACATCGAGAGGAACTATTTGAGAACATAAGAGGATGTAACGCTGTGAATAGGGTATGTTGTATAGTTAGGTTTCCCTTCAGGGACTTTTACCCACTGGAGGCTTCAGTACAGCCATCTGACCCCCTTTGCCTTCTACAGCGCCCCCGTTACGAAATTCCTGGATCCGCCACTGTGAACCAATTTAATCTGAAGCCATCCACCTGTATTGATAAACTATTTCTAAACTATTTCTGTTGATAGCATTCCTAACATGAACAAGCGAACAGACAGACAAACAAACCCAGGTTTTCACTTTGACCATCTTGTACTTCAGGGACCATAAGGTTCTTTGTGGTTTTCTGAAATATTAGGCAGTTGTACCTCTACCTTTGATTATTTGAAACCAAAAAACAACGTAAAGTCTATTCGATGCATTAACTGGTACATGTATTTTATTAGATTTAATAAGAATATTTATTTTTCAATTTATGTGTATTATAATTTGCAGAAGTACTCAGAGCAGCGTTTTAGAGTGCAAGCTCAAAGTAAGATCGTTAAAATATTTATTTCTTTGTAAAATAAGATACATGTATATGACATATACCGTGACAATTTTACAATGTACATGCATAATACGAAATCAAGAAACCATGAAAAGGGACAATGTGATTAACAAAGTACGTCATTAGAATTAATATTCACTCTGGAAAATCCAGATATTTTTATAGGAATGAGCCATAGGCATGCATAGCTGTTTCTAAATGATTTTATTCAAACCAGGAATGACGAACATGCTGTACTATGAGAAAAAATCATTGAAAGATAGATACATGTATTTATAGGCTGTGTTTCTAACTGGTATTAAATTAGACGTCAATATTTGATAAATCAAGTTCAATGTATTGCTATAATGGCATGTACAGGTTACACGTGTACTACAGTATGAATTACAATATACTGTTATGACAAAAGGGACAGAACTCCAACACATGATAAAGATAGATTAGAGACATGATTCCAAAGCTTTGAAATAAACAGAGTGAATTTTTCAACCTGTTTATATGCCCCGTAATCAAAGATTTGGAAGTATATAGTTTATAACTGTGTCCGCAAAAACTTGCCCATAGCTTTTTATTGATTGGCGCTGGCTTTCATATTTCACGTGTATTCCTTGTGGCAAAACCCTCTCTTAGGTTCTAACATATTATATTTGACCTCTTGACCTTGGTTTGACCCACTTTTTGCAAAAAATTACCCACCTTTAACAATGGCCATTATTTTCGAACAGTACTGAGGCTCTCACATTTCTAAAATGTGTATTTATCTTGACAAAACATTTCCACAGATATTAATTTTTCTGACGTTCACCTTATACATGTATACACTGAAACAATGATCCTTGCCATAACTTTTGAACACCATGAAATTTCACAGGTGTATTCCTTGTGACAATTACCAACAATTTTGACCTTGACCTTGGTATGGAAAAAACTTACTTTAACAGTTGGTTTTGAGTCTTTTATATTTTGTGAGTTTTTTCAATAATAAGGCTTTCTCATAACTTAATACGATTTTCCCCCTGTGTACCATTAGTTTTCACTCTTTGATTTGACCTTGGAGTTTGATCCACTTTTAGAAAACATTAACGTTGACGATAGCTTTTCAATGGTTGGTGCTTGGGATTTCATATTCACCAGGTTTATCCATTGGCACAAGTTCTTTCCATACTACCCTTAGTCCTCTGCGTCTCCGCACTCAGAGATTTGGATTGGTACAAACGAACTCTGGCTGAAGTTTGAAGTTCTTTCACTGGGACAGTTGGTAACATTTTGACCTCTTGACCTTGAAGTTTGATTTGCATTTGATAAACTCTAACCCTCGCTTTAAGCTGCCACATGGGGGCATCAGTGTTTCACAAACACTTTTTTTTCTTTTAGAAATAGGTACTCAGCTCGGTTGTTTTAATTTAGATTGACATGCAAGAAAAATGATGCAAATATTCATAGTATTGGCTCAGTGTAAATTTTTCACATTCAATCTAGTTTCCAGAAATTGTGAGAAAATAAATACTCTTTAAAGGTAAGTACAAGAAAAAAAAGCATTCTCTTGCAGTATGATATTATTGTATCAATAGAGAATTTTTAATATAATTTAGCAAATGGCATCTTATTTTCTGTAGCGATATATGGGGTTGTAGAAAAATCTTGATATATGTAAACTTGTATAATTGATTTTATAGAATGTGAAACAGGACTATGTATTCCTTGGAATTAAACCTGCATGCACTCCCTCTTATTAAAAAAAAATCTAAAATCTTTCGTTGTATATATAAGAAATGTATGCGCTTTTGAATTCTGGGTCAAATAAGTATTGATATTGTTTACTTACAATTTCTGCCGACGAAGGTTAACCAAGATCGCTTATGAAATACGTGCAATCATTGCCTCATCAGTTGGATCAAGACGTGTAACTAGACCTGCAGGCTTCAAACCTGTTTAAAAACTGATATTATTAGTTCTTTGTCATTTTATTTAGAAGAATTCATTAAACAATTTAGCATATACATTTGACGCTGTATATAATTTTTACATCTAGCTTTATGACAATTCTGCTAATATTATAATTACATGATATTAAATAACTTTAAATAACTATAAGTAACTGATTTTTATATTCATAAAGGACTTGCAAGTTTTAAAAGACTGCATGCATATATATATATATATATATATATATATATATATATATATATATATATATATATATATATATATATATATATATATATATGTTTAAAATTATATTAAACTTAAATTAAATGATATTAATTTCATCATTCAATTTCATAATCTTGCAGTCCAGAATATTCCTTGAGATAAATCAACCAATCGGTGATCAACTCGTATTCGTAAAGAATATTTATAGACACGTAACAAAGTTAGAAGTTTCGTCACCGTTGTAAAATACCTCAGGTTGATATAAATAAGTCGACCTTCACCTTCGAGGAAGTATGGAATACACATCGTGTTTTCATTTTACGCGATGACAGATAAGCGCGAAATGAATGACATAGAGAAAAGGCTTGATAAATAATCTTAGAAGAACAGAATTAGAGTATATATATTTTCTTCTAACATTATTGTATAATCCAAATTCGCTATCATTTGTATTCACATTGAAAATTGTCAAATGAAATTTATTTATAGCCGCGATGGGAAGCCGTAGTTTTCATTGGTCGATTTTTTGATGCAAGACTGACTGAGTTTAAATATTATGACACAAGGTGATTCCCGACATTCACGCACTGATCAGCTGAGAGCTAGAGTCGCCGGTTACGCAAATATCGTCCACCGACAAAAACTAAAAGAAAAGTAGCAAATACAACTGAAAGTTAGCATTTTAGTGTCGTATAAAGCAAGGAATATTAATTCAAGATTCACCATGGTTCGAGTTTTGTGTCAAAATCAAGCAGGAGGGTGTAGTCGTGGTCAGCCAGAGGACCTGACCCCCACAGAATTTTCTGAGGGGGTAAACTGCGATGTCATTGATGCTGCAATGGCTAACCGTGCTGCAGGGGCCCTGAATGCACACAACGAGGATTCTAATTTTAGCACCGACTTTAATTCCACAGGGACAAGCTCTGACTCGGGGTCTTCCAGCGATAGCGACTCCCTGTGCATTGCTGAGGCGGATCAAAATGTTGACCAAAAGGAGGTAAATGTGTTATCTTTGCTTTTAATTTCTCTAGTGTATATAGATACACTATATTTTAAAAACAAGTTTAACAGTGATAGAAATAATTGTTAATCGTGAGCTTTTGCTATTTTTTATACCATAATTTGTACCAGACGTTAAATTACGCATTGGTTTGCATCTTCAGGTAATTGAAATGAAACGCCAGCGTAGAAGAGAAAGGAATAAAGTGTCTGCTCAGAATTACAGACAAAGAAGGCGAGCCCAGAACAGCTCCCAAAACCAGGTAAATAGCGCATCTGTAGCACTGGTCCCAAAACTAGGTAGCTGCAGATCTGTAGCTCTCCGGAAAAAAAATATATTTATAGTCTCCGGTCTATCAATATATTTTTTTTCGGAGAGCTACAGACCAGTCACCTGCAGCTAAAAACTAGGTAAATAGCGCATCTGTAGCACTGGTCCCAAAACCAGGTAAATAGTGCATCTGTAACACTGCATGGCCCCCAAACCAGGTAAATAGCGCACCTGTAGCACTGCTCCCAAAACCAGGTAAATAGCGCATCTGTAGCACTAGTCCCAAAGCCAGGTATAAATAGCGCATCCATCTGTAGCTCTGCAAGGTCCCAAGATCAGGAAAGTAGCACATCTGTAGCACAGGTCCAAAAACCAGTAAATAGCGCATCTGTAGCACAGGTCAAAATCGTATACTTTATTACTTTTTTATCCATACCTGTTCTTTGGGGGTATGATGAGCGATTTCACTTCTCTTCCAATATTTAAATTGAAATTTTGAAAATAAATAATAAGAAGAAAGAGCAATGTTCTGCAATATCTCTTTCGGTAAAAGGATACAAATGTCATTGTATGTCAGCTCTTTCGGTAAAAGGATACAAATGTCATTGTATGTCAATTCATTTCTGAAGAAAATTACACAGATCACGGCTTCTAAGTAAAAACAAAGATATAACAGTTGTCATATGACAATTGTTATTTTTTTGTTTACTACCACCCAATAACTAATAAAAAAAATTACAACATGACAAAACCATTGTTCAATATTTCTTCGAAAATATTTCTAATTGTCCCTGGTTGTGAGGAGACAGAAGAAATGGGTTGGGGGGGGGGGGGTTAAGAGAAGAACTGAAATTCATGATGTTGATGACAAGCAAAAAAAAAGAAAAGAAAAAGAAAGAAAGAAATTTAAAGGAAAAAAAAGTTATTGGAAGTCATCGCTAAAAAGTCACACGTTTTCTTTCCTTTTAACTGTACACTGAAAAAAATATTAACCCCCCCCCCCCCCCCCAAAAAAAAAATCCTCCTGTCTCCTTCTGGTCTAGCTTGTTCTCCGTCAATAAGAAAAAGATACAGTTATGGAAAATTAATAGATGAACTATCCTCAAGCATTGAACACCTGATCAAGTCGTCATGCAGTGTAATCTGATTTTCCAGTCACTGAACTTTTGTTTTATTTTTTTTTAAATTATTCAACAAACTTTTTTTTTACTTCCAGATACTTGCCGACTTAGAGAAGCGCCACCATGAGCTTTTAGAAATGGTTCGCAATCTCGAGGAACAGAAGTCCATTATCGAAGGATTGATTAAGAAGAAGGCAAAGATTCCTTGGCCTTGGGGCTACCATCCTACAACACATCCCTACGCCCCCGTGACAGAAGGAATGTGTGGATCCGCCGCCAGCATGGACGCCCCCATGTCTATGACAACGAGTGCGATAGTCGCATCGTGATGCTCAGTAAACCGTGAAGGAGTTTTACTGCCGCTCACCTTGTACTATATGTATGCGCCTGCGCATGGGAGACAACGTCATATCCCGTGAATCTAATTGTGTTGGCCCGGGGACTTGAAACTGATGGGCTTTAACAAAGATGTCCTTGAAAGGGGATACATTTGCAGCACATTAGATTGTATGACAAATTGTCTCGTGTATTCACTATTGTGAAGTGGAAAAGTGTTACATAAGACCAATATTCTGTCAGAGAACTGTCAAATATTGAAGGTTTTCAAGTTCCCATGACTTCCATAATGTTCTAGCTCAGACCAGACATTATGACTTACAATGTGTATAATTACTGCCATGTTTGTTTTTCAATCTTATTTAAACATAATTTGTGAGCGGCAGATGAAGTATTACATTGTTCAAGTTTTATGAATTTACATTTTTCATTGAACTGGTGATTAAATATTGTCATGTATGGTTTACTTGTTTATTTTTTGTTTGAATCCCAATCTGAAGATTGTATTTTTTGATACTAAAGACCAATGCAACTTGCAACCCCCCCTTTGGATTTGCAAAAAAGAAAGAGAATAAGAAAGTTCCAATTTTTTTGTTGTGTTTTACTATGGAAAATGGCAAGGTGAAAGGCTAATGTTGTAATATATAAAGAAATTCGGTTGTAAAAACAAAATAAAACCCCACCCCTTTACAAAATTATTTTAGGATTTATTTTCCTTTTTTTTTCAAAAACATGTATAGTTCCCACTTTCAAAAACCATACACCACCCTGTATCGATATTCTATTGAGTTATTTAACTATATGTATGTGTACAACGTACGTTTTAACTTTTTTCACCTTAAAACCCCCCCCCTTTTGAAAAAAAACTTCAACCCCCCCCCCCTTTGAAAAATTTCTGGATCCGCGCCTGAAGACCTTGTCCGCATTAATAGGAAAACTATCTTCATCGTTCAGAAATTAACACTGAATCAATATTTCAAAAAATAAAATGGTTTAATGTCCTCATTAATGGACCAATCAAAACTCAGCTCCAAGCAACGGGTTACTAAATCAAGATCAGAACTTTAATACACAATACAATCTTTATTTTTCATTATAATTCTACACAAGTATTATTATTTAATATACACCTATTATGTACATAGGCCTTGTCTGTTATCCTTATTGGAAAAAAAATCTGCTAGGAATTTGTTTTAAAAATGCAGATTACATATTTCAAATAAATTGAACTTGCAAAAATTCGAGTTTTTATGAGGAGAGACATGAAATAAAAACGTTGACGAATGACTTTTTATACTGATCTCTCCAATGAAATAACGTCTTTGAAATACTGCTTTTTAGAAATAAATAGCCTGAAAAAGTATTCATCAAAAAATTTTTCCTCCAGAAAAATTAATTTTTGGTTGGAACATGCTTAATTAGATATCGGACATAAATGGATCAAACAGCAGGCATTGTCTATATGTGTTTTCCTCATTCGTTCTCACAGCCCGTAGGAAGCAATTTCAGTTCGGGGCGGGGGCCATATTTCATTTGGGGGAAGTTTCAACTGTCAAAAAATCCTGAAAAGGCATATTAAAAAAAATGACATCAGACGTTTTAATTGAGGGGCAAAAGCATACAGTAGAATTTTTTTACTACTTTTTTTATCGTATACTGTATGGTCGCCCCCCCCCCCCCAACACACACACGGTTCTCACGGTTATGTATCCTGCATTATTTGGGTTTTTTTTTTTTAATTATATTCTTTTTTATATTTCCGATTATTGCATATGATTACATGTATTTGAACGTTTTTAGAAATTTTCTGATAATTCTAAACATATTTTTAATTAGAATGTCTCTAGAAATGTTCTTTTTTTTTTTTTTAATATTAATTAAATCTCTATATATAGTTCATGGATAATTTTTGAATATTTTTATTTATTTATAAATGATGGGGCTAATCAAACTGTAAAATATGGTACTTTTTCGGGATTTAGAATTTATCTAAAGATACTTGATTTTTGGTGAAGAATTTTTTTCAATTTTGTGTGAAGATGAGAGAGTGTTCCACAAGCGTGCATTGACGCTTGACCTTACACTAATAGATTATCAAATGTGGTTAAAAAAAATATTGAGGCATATGAAATTTTCAGTTTAATGAATCATCAGTCGCGTGTGTCCGTACATACATGTAATTAAAACATAACAGTCACTTATTCGAAAGCAAGAGTAAACCAAAATAAATATCTGTTAGTGTAGCCAGTACATCATATTACAATCGTCTTTCCCCCTTCCTGCACCTCATCATATTTTGTGCGGAGATGTTCTCGAGGTGACGTGGAAGATTTGACATCAATTTTAAATAAAAATTATCAAATAAAGTTTATATATAAGTTACATAATCTAGCACTATTTCATGATTAATCAATAGCATGCAATTAATTTTTGCGGTAGTCTATAGTGGCATGATAAAGGGAAATTGAAGTTTTGAGGCATATATAGGGAATATTGACACACTTCAAAAGAAGCTCATCTTACGTGAACAAATTGCTATTAAAAATTGCACACAAAACAGGGCATGATAATCTTTACATAATGTAGCGATATCACTTATTATTTACTCTGAATAATGTAAAAATTGATCTCTTTCAAAACATTGCATTAAATCTCCTTTCCGTCCCCCAAAAGAACGTTTTTAAGGAAAGTACCTTTTACTATTTTTAGCCAAAATTCGCCCGGCTGACGTCATTTAGTGTATTAGAATAATCTCCCTTGCTGAGCGAGCAAAACTTGTCGAGACATGTTAGATTTCAGAAACGCTGAATAGCGGACTTTTTAAAGGTAAAGTTTAAAGTGTACAGAGGTGATAGATTGATTGATTTTTGGATATACTACCAATAGTAAGGTAGGAATCAGTTCCACTCAACTTTATTTTTGCATAATTAAAGAAGAAAAGTGTTTTATTGCTGCAAATGAATCGTTTGTTTACAAACATTGAGGATAATTGCCAATGACGTGAAAAATAAAAATTGCTGAAGTTGACAATATCGTTTTAATGGTCAGCCTGATTATTTCTTTGACTGTAGTTTTTCTTCAGTACGGTCAAAAAAGATTTTTCAACTAAAAATTTATAAGTTCAAATAAAAATAGCCTACATATGTATGTGTAGAAAAATTATTTTATACATTATATTTCATCATGCAACATATTTAAAATTGTTTCCTCAATATTCAAATCACAGATATTTTGCACGGTTCCCCTCCCAAAATTTACATTGTCTTGATGGGAATTTATATTTTGAAATCTTCACCTCTGTAGATTGGCCGACTGAGAGATGCAAAAATAGAAATCGGCCATTTTTGTTTCGTTGCCACAACGTTTTGTTTGCAACCCATTTTTAAAATAAAAGAAAAAAAAGAAATAAAAGCCCCCCCCCCCCCACCCTTCTTTAATGTTACACAAACAAAGATCGAAACGATTTCTATTTTATATGCACTTGGGAAATTGATAGGTTATAACGATTTAAAGAACGATATATATTTGTTAAAAAAGGATTTTTTCCTACAAAGACTAGATCTCTTTATATAATAATACAATTGATGAAAAAGTTCATTTGAAACAGGAGTGAATACACTAAAATAATTTCCTTAGCACAAAAAAGCCGAATTTTTTGTTTATATCCTTAAAAAAAAAAAGAACTGGTTGGACTCTATAGTTCTTTAACCAAAACAAAGGCATGCTGTATGTTTGAATTGAAATACATTAAATTGAATATCATATGCAATGATAGCATCAAACATTAAAATTTACCACCACTCATGGAAGTAACCAAGACTGTACCGGGTCACGGTGACCAGAATTCCAACATCGATGTGATTCAATATGGCGTCCTCTGAATAAAAAATCAATTCTTTAAACTGTAATTTTTTTTAAATATTTTTTTTAGCTTTTTCAAATTCTGCAAAATTTTGAATGGAGTTTACTTTAAAATTCAAGTTTTTTTTTGTTCGGGGTGGGGGATGGGGGCTATGCAATTACTTATTAAAACAACATTGTCAAAAAGTGTTCTTAATTAAACAGCTTACTATATATTTCAAACGAACTTTTCCTTAATTTTAACTTCGTCGAGAATTTTTTATTCTTTTTCGGGGTGGTTTGGGGGTATTACAAAACCTAAAACAAATTGCCGACTTAAAAACAAACTTAACATAAAATTGAAATAAAAGATGGTCATGTTATCATAAAAAGAAATTCATTCTGCATATTTTACCGTGTTTATGCACAGGAACTAATTGACAGGTTTGAAAAGCCAAGTCAGAAATGGTTATCGTGAAAAAAAATCTTCATTTTTTGTGCATGTGTATGAAATTTACTTACAACAACCATTTCACATTTCTGTTTATTGTTGAGAGAGGAAAATGAAAAAGAGAACTTTTAATTTTGAGAAATATATGTTAAAATTGCTTATTTTCCTTTGTGGTTTTTTTTTCTCTGTGCCTGCTTTTTATTTTAGATTGTTACAAATATATAAATGCATTATGAAATCTTCATCCAGGTCACTTTGTCATTTCATCGTGTGTCCAATTAAAAAAAAGGTTTACAGGGTTTGAGAGTATAGGCATCACGAGAAAAAAAATCAACTAATATGTTCTTCCTTTGTGAATTTCAAATAATTGATAATACCGTAAAGTTTGGGTTGTCAAATCCCTTGCGAATTTTTACAGGCATATTTATTTTATAAATTTTTATGTCCCCATTCTTACTGTTTATCTTTCTTTTTTTCAACATTTTTGAAAACAGCGACTGTAACACACTGCCCAGATTATAAAAGAATTTATATTTTAAGTAGATGATTTAAATTTTTTTGAAAGTTATTAGCAATGTATGTATTTGTATATTTTATTGTTTCTACCCCAGTCTTAGTTGAGTAATTTATTTTTTTTTTTAAATCATCTTCAGGTACCTGCTTAAAATATGTATCTTTGAAAACTAAGAATCAAACAATTTTTCAATTTTCATGATAAAAGAAAGACTAGTAGAGGGTGAGAATTGTTATCCTCAAATCTTATTAACACTGCATAAATTAGGGTTAAGTAAAGTGATCCTTATTAAATATGCACAAACAGGATGTCCAATGGAAATCCTTGTTGATGTCTGGGATGTGACTGTAACCCCGCCACAACAGGGGGAACTGTGGGAAATTTGCATATACTAGTATCCTAATTTTGTTGTTATAGCGATATCAGCTGTTACTTTTTTTATACGGTAAATACTTATAGTGTCTAAATACACTAATTTAACTGGTCTTACTCATATTTGTGGATTTTTAAAATAAATACAGTACTCGTTATCCCTAAATAAATCAAAAAGTAAAAATAGGAGGTGCACAATGACAATATGCAATAAAACTTCTTTCAAGTCTCATCAAATTTCATTCAGTGGTATGAGAGGAGTTGCGGATAAGAGATGGGTACCCCAAAACATAACAGACGGACGGACATCCCGATTACCATATACCCTCCCACTTTTCAAGCGGGGAGTATAAAAAAAGTTATGTGCTGTGTTACAACGCACTTTGAAAAATTACTCACTTTGAAAAAAAAAAATTCAAAGTGCGTTAGATTTGGGACCATATCAACGCACTTTGGAAAAATAAAATTTCTTTTCAAAGTGCGTTAATATCGACCATATTAACGCACTTTGAAAAAAATGTGTATGGCTTGGACAATATTCTTGCAGATCGTAGGTATGATAAATAATTGAACCTGTTTGATAACTCTTATGTGATGAGGTCACTTCAGGGTGCGAAAGTGAGCGATTTTGATTTTTCCATACTTTGAAAATTTCTTCTCTCTTAAATGTTTTACTGTACTTAATTTTTTTTCAGTTTGCATGCATTCTAGACAAGATACAAGATACAAGATATTTTATTTAAATGTTTTACATAAATGTACAATTTAAACATTCTCTCTTTTTTTTTTTTATAACAATATAATTAATTTTTTTTTTATATTTTACATAATAATATTGTTCTCAGTGTCACTGATCATATATAATACAAGTGTCCAGAAGAATGTCATTGATCACAAAACAATACAAAAATGTGATGCTATACATGTATAAATTTAAATGGCTTAGCATGCATAAACATGATGACAGAGTCTATGTATTTATACATTGGTTCTTTTACCATTTTCAGAAATAAATTTTCCAAGTAAGCATAAAATTTCTTTATTTTCATTATTCAATATCCATATAAGTTTTTCATCATGTGTCAAAGAAGAGAACTAAAATTTATTGAAAGTTTTCAACGTCATACCAGTTATGCAAATACATATATTTGGGTGTAGCATAGGCATCTGTACTGACAAATGTTTTTCAAAGACATAATATAGGTATTGAAATTGGGGCTTACCTTGGACCTTGGGGGTTATCCTCTTTCAATTTGCTACCGACGGCTATGTATAATGCATAAGAAAAAAAGAGTTAGGCTGAGAGACCTTCTACTCGTCCTCTCCTTGTTCTCAATGAGGTTAATTCAATTCATATAAATTAAAAAGTTTTTCGAAAGATATAATTATTACAAATTGATTCTCTTATAATTAATTACTGAAATGTAGAATAGTCTAGAATTTTTTGTTTTATGCATATTTTTTTTCAAAGTGCGTTAAATGTCCCCGTTGTAAAAAATGTTTATGTACACTCTTAACGCACTGTGAAAAAATTTTCAAAATGTGTTGATTTTGTCCCAAATTTTACGCACTTTGAAAAAATGTTTCAAAGTGCGTTGATTTTGTCTCAATTTAAACGCACTTTGAAAATTTTTTTCAAAGAGCGTTGCCACAGTGCCGATACATCGTTTTAGAAAGATTTGTGTGTACAGCGCAGAGTCTGTGATGTTAAACATGTGTGTGAATAAAGATATTTTTGTCAGTAAATTATCAACACTTGTACTAGCTTATACAAAATATATATAATCTTGATAAATTTTAATGTTGTGTTTATGTTTCACAGTCAGAAAATGTAAGGCTTGTTTTCGTTTTATGCTTTACGAATGAGTTATCTCTCTTTTATCTTAGTTTTGTAAATCAAATGTACTAGTATATGAAGAAATGGAACATCATTAGTCAATATTCAAACAATGCAAATCAGGAAAAGAAAAAATACGGACTTCTAAAACATCAGAGATGGGATCTGAATCAGATGCAATGGAGGAGTGAGCATCCCCTGACGACCTGTCACGCCCACCACGTGCTTCTTGCCATGATCGGGAAAATCCGTCGACAATTCATTGTGTAAATAAATTGCAATGGGTTTACAATAATTTTTAAAAAAGGCAGTCATCATTTAACCTAGTGATAGATTTTATTTGCTCACAAGGTCATTGTATCGACCATAGAATTAACAAAATGATGACTATAAATGAGACTATTGATATAATTGTTTCATCAACTTGTTTGTCAATAATTTACCCCGTTTTATAGAAGTTTTTCCTACGTAAAGCATGCTTTTTCATATCGAATCAATTGTGAGATATGCCAGAACATACAGGTGATGAGGATCTACTGCTGTATAAGACTAAAATAACAGACGTTGACGATTGAAACGTTTATCTTACAGCGTCTTTGTTAGGTACCATTGACGTCCTTTTTTTTTTTTTTTTTTTTTTTTTTTTTTAAGAAAATATTAAAATATGAGACAGAAATGTCAGATTCTATCGTATCTCTAATCTCAAGCTTATTGGGGTATTAAAAATATCTCCCTTATTTTTGTACCCCCGCTTGAAAAGTTGGAGGGTACAGTAATGTATATAGTGATAGGAATGTCCATCCGTCTGCCTGTTTGTTACGCTTTGGGGTGCCCATCTCGTATCCGCAACTATCGTATACCACTGAAGAAAATTTAATAAGACTTTTTACAGTGTCATTGTGCAAATCTTATTTTTACTTTTTGATCTGACACTTATTTTGGGTCTCCAAGAGCAAAACATGGACTTTGCCGTTTCAATCGGTATCATTTAGTGAGCTCAATGCTCACTGCTCACAGTACCTCTAGTTCCAACTTTGCTTATAGTATTAAAATAATTTCCTAAATTTCGAATTTATTAACGCTATATACATGCAGTTTTGTTAAGTTATATGTTTATCCATGAGCATTCACTTACAGATGCAAGACATTCAAGGGATAGATGAAGAGGTAATGAAGGCAGGGGAGGAGGCCCAGGCGTCTGGGCAGTTGACGCCCCTCATTAAAGTGGAGCTTTGGTCGAAAATTCAGTCCCGAAGATTATCAGAGGGGAAGGAGGAACTCAACGTCCAGTTCAGTCCACCCACGGCCATACCTGTAAGTATTCCTATTTCTGTGAAATTATTTAATTAAAGTACATGTATTACAGTTTTGTTATCTTTGTTTAAAAATGAAAATCTGTACAGTACTTACCATTAGTTGTCAAAGAACTATATGCGGTATATTGCATATGTTTGCCCCCACAAAAGTCAAATTTTAAAAACTTCCTGAAATGTGCTGAATTCAATAAATTGTACGAGAAATATAAGTTAACAGAAAATATTATAGTTCCAGAGCAGTGTATTCACAATTTCTGTTTTTATGACGTCACAAACTAGTCCAATTTTATATCCTTTTTCAGAAAGAGGACAAAATGGACAAAATTTCAACAATTTAAGCTTTAAAATTTATAGAGCGCATGTGTGTTCAGGAACAATATTGACATATTTCATTGATATTATCATTCTACACATTATATCAAAATATTTATCCTGAACACACATGCGCTCGGTGACTTTTATTTAAAATATCGACGAAATATGTACATTTTTCTGCAAAATTCATAAAAAACTGAAATTACGTCATATTTGTGACGTCATTACGTACATATGACGTCATTACTTATGAAATTATTCAGTGCTTTGAAGTCAGCATATACTCCCCTGTTTAAGGACTTAATTAAATATTACTCCATCAAAGTTTGATTTTGGGGGGCAAATGTTGGTTAATACCGCATATAGTTCTTTGTTGTATTATTATAGTTGACAGAGGAGGAAGAGGAAAAAAGTAGAAGGAGGAAAGAGTGTAACAGGGAGGCGGCCTACAGATGTCGTCAAAAGAGGAAGGAACTACAAAAGGATAAGGAGAAGGTAAGATAGCACAAAGGTCCATAACGGTAAAATGTCAGGATCCGGATAAACACGATGTGTGCATCCACAAATGAATGTTATCTTATGCTCTTAATTTTCCCGTTGTAGGAGTTAGAACTGCTGGTGGCCAAGAACGAAGATTTGAAACGGCAGATCGAGCATCTTGAGCAGGAGATAGAAATGTATAAGGGTTTACTCAGTGTGGAGCCTATCGGTAACCCGGCCTCGCCGGAACAACAGGTGCCAGGTCACTGGAGCGGAACGGACTTCCTGGAGTATTCCCTGTGAGACCCTGTTATTAGTCCACGCATTATAAAGCATTATCATGTTGTAAATTTTACCAAACTTTTTCATCAACTGATTTTTTTAAACATTTTTTTTCACAGCATATTGTATTTTGTTATCAATACATAGACTCCAAAAAGTGATAAACTTTTCTGAAGTTACCATTAATATGAAGAATCGTTCCTGGATTTTTAATTTTTGAGCTTCATTTGGCGAAATTTTTTTTGTTTTAACTGAGGAGCCAGTTGTCTCCATATTTTTCAATTCTCAGGGAAAGTAAGTGAAGCTCCTGTAGTGCTATATCATTCCATTGAATTCTTAGTCACATTAAATTTCTCAGAATGATTCAAATGGCATAAACTGTGTATATAATCTCAGTGTAGGTGTAAATCACCCTGATCGTATTTGTTTGGTTGTAGCGCATCTGTAAATATTACATTTATTTGCTTAGTCAACTTTATCATCATTTTGTTGTTAAAATGTTTTGTAAGTTTTTGAGATTTTTGCTTTGTTAAAAGCTGTTGCAGTATTTTTGATGTTATTTTGTTTAAACATATACTATTTTTGTTTTGTATAAAATGTTTATTACTTACTGCTACGCCAGTGTTTCATTGGTCAGTTAATCACGAGACCAATTCAATCTGTATTGTTAGCTGGGCATTAAATGCTATAAAGCCATGTAATGACATTCATATCATCAGTGAATGCTTTAAAAGTACAAATAAGAGAAGTTGGGCGGGATTGTCTCGGAAATTGATAATCCGGATTTATATTGCCATATGTTTGTAACGAGATATTTGATTATTTTTTTCTCGCTGAATATGTAGTACAGTGTATACGTTTCATTTGGCATTCTTTTTAATTCGCCCTTTTCATAACTTTAATTTTTGTAGTCATATTTTACCATCCGGTTCATAATTGTATGCAATGTAGAATTAACCTCAGTTATTCTAGTTACATCTCCTATACTGAATAACTGTGTCCAGTGTGAGTGGTCATACAAGAACGATAGTGAAGAGTTGTATGTATAACTGACATTCAGGAATGTACTTATACTGTACCATCTAGTGCTGACAAATGTGTTCAAAGACCCAGCATATTGCCACAATGCCAACAGTGCTGGTAGTGTTGTATATTGTTATATATTTTTATACTTGTTATATATGATATAAAATGTTTATGTACAATATCTTCATATTTCTATATAATCCAAGGAATGAAAAACTGCATAATCACCATTTTTCGCGGGGACATACGTGCATGGTTTGAGGAAAAATGATGGTCTAAAGTGATTTGGTTTGTTTCTATTGTACAGTCTTGTCTTCTTTTAAAATTTTGAAATTTCTTGGTGGAAAATTTAACAATTGCTTCATACCATGAGAACAAGGAAAAATTAAGCCTACGAAAATTTATGCTTTGACATTTTTTTGAAATGAAAGCAGACCAGACAATTTTGCAGTCGTGTGCTAACGAGAATTTTCTTCGCAGACCAAAGTATCACCCAGGCCGCATTCTTCGTCGTATAATTGATTGTTCATATGTAAATTTACCACATTTTCAATCACTGGACCCTTTTTATCTAAATATGCATCATGATCTTTGAGCAATGGAGATGAAGTCTCTATGAAACATATTGAGATAACAAACAATATTCAAGATCAAAAGTCCATAAACAAAACAAAATAGGAGCAGAGCAAACACGGACCTCCAAAACACCAGAGGTGGGATCAGGTGCCATAGAGGAGTGAGCATCCCCTGCCTACCGGTCACACCCGCCGTATGCTCCTTGTCATGATCGGGAAATAACGGAAAAATCTGTCGTCAATTAAGTGTATAAATAATGGACTAACAATTAGTATGAAAAACGTCAGTCAGCATTAATTTGACTCAATGATAAAATGTATTTGCTGACAAGGTCATCGTATCGACCATAGAACTTACGAAATGATGACTTAAAACAAGACTGTTGATATTGTTGTTTCATCAACTTGCTTTTCAATAATTTACTTTGTTTTAGATATTGTTCGTACGTAGAGCATGCTCTTGCGTTTCGAATCAACTGAGATATATAAACTCCGTATGCAGGTGATGAAGGTATATTACTGCTTAAGTAAGAGAAGTTGACAATTGTTTAGTTAAAGTCATCACGTTTATCACAGAGCTTGGTTGTTAGATAACCATTAAGTCTTTTTCAAGTAAAATATCCAAATAAGAAACAGATGTGTCAGACTCTGGTATCTTTTAATCTCAAGCTCATCAGGATATATCGTATCGACATAGGAATGGAAATTACCATTGTCAATTGACAATACGTCGTCGATATATCTAAATGTCGAGTTGAAGGCCACAGCAACTGTTTTCTCCTTTTAACGTATAAGATTTGGGAGAAATTCTGATTCATGTGAATATAAAAATATATCCGCTAATAACGGAGCGCAATTGGTACATGGGTATTCCATTAGATTGTTGGAATACCTGGTCTCCAAAAACCACATACTGTAGTAAATATTATGAATCAGAAACTCAAGCATCTCTTTGATGTCAACTTCAGAGTACTTGTGTGTGTAATCAGAACGTGTTTTAACAAAATAATTTTGAAAATAAACAATGACCAGGTAAGTAAATTTAAGAGTTCCTTTTTTTCAATAAAAAAGCAGCTCAGTAACTCGGTTGAAAGCAGAATTTGATATTTTTTAAAAACATTATTCTGAAAACGAGAATATGAGATACATCCAGTAGCAATAGTTCATTTTGGAATCATTTTTGATTGGATAAAAGATTTAGTTTATATAATATAACTGCGCACGTCACAATTATTCATGTCAAAAACGTATATTAAGTTTGTCGTTACCTTTAAAGTATGCTCAAATTGAAGCCATTTTTGAAGGAAAAATATCTTTTTTGTCTACAGTGAATGATGGAAAATTAACTTATAAGGCATGAATTTAATAGCTACCCAGTAATACTGGTATAACTTGGGTTTGAACAATTTACGCTTTTTAATAAAACGCCTCACATGCTATTAAGTTCATACCAGTATAACTTGGGAAGTTCCCAAAGAATGATATATGGGGATAACCAACAGTATTCAAGCTCAAAATCCATTTTAAAAATGATTTTTGGGAGCAAACACAGACCTCCAACACATGAAAGGTGGGGTCAGGTGCCATACAGGAGTTAGCATTGCCCCCTCCCGGTCACACCTACCGTGTGCTCCTTTTCATGATCGGGAAATAACGGGAAAACTCCGTAGATAATTCAGTGTGTAAGTATGATGACATAAAATTGGTATGAAAAACGTCAGACAGCATTAGACTTAATGATTGGTTAACGACTTAGCAACTTGTTTGTCCAAAGCTAACATTGATTTACAAATATTTCATGCGTGGGGCATGCCCTTACAATTGTATCGAACCAACTGAGAGACATAAACGCCATAGGCAATTGATAGAGTATAATGCATCTTAAGTAATGGAAGTTGACGATTGAAAAGTTGAAGTCAACACTCTTCTTGTAAACTGTGTTGCTAGGTTACAATTGATATTTTTCTTCTTTAAAATTTCTTCTTTAATAATCTTTGTTTTATAAATCAGAAAAAGACCAATGGCAAGGCAATTAAATTAAAGAGGTCTATCTTTATTGTAAACGTTGGTGTAATAACACCTTTAAAACCCCGATTTTTTACAAAAATATTAAGTTCCACAAATAAAAAGTAAATCATTCTGACTAGGTTTTTCATAAAAAATATTTTGCTGTACAATAGATTTATATAGAATCATTTATTTTAACAAAAACGTCATTGTCTACGAACATTTTGGACAACCCTCGTATTTCAAGTAAAATGTTATTTCAATTTTAAAAGATATATTCTTGGAGTTTTTAAGTATCTAGTATCATTTATACCACTCTTCAGGAAGAAATGCTTCAATATTAGAAGGATTTATGAGGAAATTATTAGCTTCTGAAATGCCGATATTTTTCAAATCGTAAAAGACATTGGTGAGTCAAAATTATTGTTATGCAAAAAGAATGCAATTATGCTGTTAGTGAAAATTTTTAATAGAAATATATTGCATTCAGACAAGAAATTAGACTTGTCAAAAATTTGGGGGAAAATGTTTTATGACTACACCACTCACATGTGATGAAAGATATAAACCTTCACCCAAGAGAACGGATGCAAGTAGTGGTGGCTGATTTCCTGTCTTGTTCAGTCCAGCACGTGAAAATTTCGCATGATGCTTCTTATGTCTCGTGAAAAAATATCAGATCAGATCCTGATTATGGAATATAGTATTTTATAACCTTTTGTTTATAAACAAAACCCCCCTCTCACTTTCCTTCGGTGGCGGCAATTATACTTTTCTCTGAAACTTAGGGTATTAGAAAAATCTATTTGGGAAGTTTTTCTTAATGACATCTTAAAAAGGACAAAGACATATGTCAATCACTGCAGCTGGGTCAGAAATTTAAACTCCAGGCATAATTCGAAGACAAGAATCCCCCCCTCCCAAAAAAAAATTACTGTATGTATTATCATGTCTTATCGTATTATAAATGAAGCTAATCAAATAACATAAATTCTACAACAATTTATATGTAAATGTTCATAATAATTCAAAACAGAGTAAATTAATACACTGAATATGGAAAAATAAATATATTTAAAACATTTCTATACAAAATGTTTGACCCAAGAAAAAAATAAGTATAGGGTTGAAAAATATCACCTTACCATGGCATCAATTATTGTTTTGATAAAACCAGTTGCAAACAAACAAGGGAAGTTTAGGCCTATTGTATTTATTTATTGTATATAGCAATTACCTACTTTTTTATGAATATAAAAATAAGGGAAAGCAGACTATAAATAGTAAGCCTTAAAATATTTATAGATTATTGTCACACGAGTACAGAGCATATCATTTTTAAATAAAATCATTGAGTTGTTTATATTCATAGTATCCTGCTTTGTTAAGCTAGTGAGGTTTACCACACAACTTCACGTGAAACCGTCTTTACACATATTTTAATCGGATGTTCGGATTTTTTTATGTGCACTGTTTTGAAACGTACGATGAAATTCTTCAAATTACATGTGTGTATGTTTGATAACTTTGATTAGGAATATTTTACAGCATTTTTTTGAAAAATTAAATAATGTTATCTTTAGATAGAGACTATTATTGATTGGTTGGAAAAGCTGACATACATGTATATGCACATGAAATTTACAAGTAATTAATACAAGTAAGTTAATCACGTGTCATGTCAAAATACCCAGTGTAGAATCTATTTTGATAGTTAACCTTAAACAACATGTAAAGTTTAAAGTTCGTTGATGTTTTATTTACTTTTAAGGCATTTTGCCAAGCACCGATATAAAGTTTAACTACTTTCAGTTTTGCTTGATATGTGCACTACCAATTCGTAGAAAAGTGGACGATGTACATTTATTCCATTGATCCCAGGGACAAATATTCTTGGACAAATCAGAATCTTCTCGATGAAGATGTAAGCATTATATTTAAATTCTCACAAGCCGGATATTACGTACAGCCGAAAACAGGGATTACAATTGGCCGGTATTCGCGGTTTTCCCTCAGTCGAAGGGAAGCATGGCGGAAGATCTTTTGTCAACAATAAAAGACGAAAAGTTAAGAAATGCTTCTTTGGAGGCCACAAAATCTGGATGCATTCTGCCAATTCTTAAAGAAGAGCTTAAAAGTAAAATTCAGTTGAAACGATTTATACAAGGACAAGATGAAATAGATCTTACTGTGCCATCACCAACAAAGAAAGTGCATGTGGAGGTAAAAATTTTTCATCTTTTTCTTTTCCTGCTAAATGATAATTATCTTAGAAATGATATGTGTAGATATCAAGGAGTTTATAATGATATTTATAAAATTACAGTTTACTGAGGAAGAACTTGAGCGAAAGGAAAAACGAAAAGACCAAAACAGAAAGGCGGCCATGAAATTCAGATTAAAAGAAAAAGAAGATAAAGTTCGCCTCGAACAGGTATATTCATTCCATATATTCTTTTCTAAATTCTCATAATTTTTTTCAATTTAATAATCAATATTATTCATGTTTTTTTAAATTTAATTTGATCCAAAACATGATATGAATAATTATACTTGTTTGTAGAATATTAACGCAATTAAAATCAGTGGGAAAAAATGTTACATATTTAGATTGATAAAGTAAATTTTTTATCTACATTAAATCATCATAAAGTGTCAATACTTGTAACATAATTGTGTTTTTGTTAATGAACAGGAAAATAATTAATTATTGAAATTATTCAAAACACGCGTATTGTATCAGAAATACACTGTATATCAGGAGAAATAATTTTAAAAAATAAATAAAAATAAAACATTTTGCTCAGAGGTAATTTTTAAACATAACATCAATAAAGATCTAGAAAAAATGTTCTGATCTAATTTTTAAAATCTGGAAATTAGAAAAATGGTTCTAGGATAGAACAATGTACCTACATTTCTTTCAGAATTATTTTTATGAACAGGAGTAGATTTACTCCCATTTGAATAATTAATGACAGTTCCACTCATTGAATTCTTTATAAAGATATTTTACTAAGATCATTTCAATATGATTCACACAACATTATGTGAAATTAACATATTATGTTCCTGATTTTTAAAAATATTTTTTGGCATTATGATTTAATTTTTTTATTATAAAAATCGATAGAGCTGATGATAAACAACACTAATTATCCATTAAAAATATTTTTACAATAAAAAAAAATCTCAAAAATATAAATTTATGAAGAATTAATATATAGAAAAATATCATGAAAGCAGATTATATTATATCTGCCGAATCTATTCATGAGATTGATTATTTTAACATTTTTTTACAATTTAGACTCTGAAAGAACTTAAAAGAAGAAATGAAGAATTGAGGAGTAATGTACGTCAGATGGAGGAGGATAAAGCTAAGATTCTACAGCTCATTAACGATAAAAGTAAACGCTACATGACATGATGGTAGTGATCACAACGATGTCTCCATTGTGTTCATCATGTGACTGGGGTTTTACAGGTGTCTATTTTTGTCTTATCAAAAGACACATGCCAAAATTGTGTTCTCAGTATTTTCGCTCGAATCCGACCAATATACGAATCTTTTATTGTCTTTTGAAAACATTCCATATTGTTTTCCGAATTGGATTCATATTGCTCAAGAGAGGTAAAGTGTTATGTTTAATGTAAAGAGAAAGTGGTTTTGTTTTCTTTTCTTATGTACTCTGAGTATGTTTACTACATGTATGTATAAGAAAATCGTTTTTCTAGAGTGTGCATGAGTTGTCATAATTTATCATAAATTTGATTTAATCTTTCCAATAGTTTTTTTTATGACAATAAAACAGGAAAAGATAACCTGCATTTGTTGTCATTTTGATTGTTTATACTTTTATTAAAACAACACAAAAATTTTTATTGATACTCAGATTCTTTTTTTAAGTTTATATTTACACTTAAAGTACCACTTACTTACCTTAAAATATTTGAAGAATTAATTCTAAACTTTAATACATTAAAAGATTGTATAATATTTTTTTAATTATAAAAGTAATTAACAAAGCAATATAAAAAGAATACTAATTTAAAATTACCAATTTTTTAAAGCAAATATTTAAACGTAAAATACCACCTACTTGCCCTAAAATATTTGTAAAGAATGAACATAAATTTGATTCACTGTCTTAAAACATTTTAATAATATTTTAAAATGTATTATAAACATTATACCCTTCACAAAGTCAAATATATTTTTGAATACTTAAGTGTGCATAAATAAATTACTAAATATTTCACAATTTAGTAGAAAATACATTGGGAAAATTATTTCTTTGTAAATTCAGAGAGAGATAGCAATTTGCTCTATTCTGAAAACTCTTCGATGAGGTATCAATTCTTTGTGTTATAAAATACATTAAAAAATATTCAGTAATGATATATTCCCTTTTGGATTAATAGAAATGACAGAAATCGATATGCTTCTCTCTCTTATACATTTACAAATACAATTCATTTCAACTGCAGTTTAATAAAGTAATTATAATTTACAAGCATATAATTGCGCCTTTTCTGACTATTGTTTGTTAAATTTGAAAAGAATAATAACTCATAATTTATATGTTTAAAAATATCTATTTATTACGTATAATTTTTTAAAGAAATAATAAATGCTGTTAGGATAATGTGAAGGCGACTTTGGAATTATTTACTTTATGAGAAGTACATGTACTAAACACTTCTTCTGACTTGTTTATTTCATCGTAAATCACATATACTTGTGAACAAAATTTAAAAAAAAAAAACATCATTACCAGTTCATCATCGATGTTTATTTCTAATTATGATTGCAAGGGCTATATAAATAACTGAAAATTGTAAACTATGATTCGAATGCTTTGCTCTCAGTATAACTGCATGATAACAAAGATGGCTGCAACCTCACGTGTACATGCAATCTCGTCTTTTTACCTTTTTATCGCACAAGAGTAATGAGGATTTCCGATGTTGCAATAAAGATAATTGATTGGAAAAACCCTGATTATTTACCCAAATGAATATAGGAAGTACACCAAATATAGTTCTATTGAGTAATGGTAATTAATATTGTCGAGTCAGGTAAGTTTTTTTCAGTTCCAAATCTGTCAAATCTACGAAAATAGAAAAATATAATGGAATTATATGCAATATGTAAGTTTTCATTAAAAATTATGACTATGAAATTAGCTATCAATCTGATCAATTTTTTGAAAATGCAACTCAATTTTCTAGATTTAAAACATAACATGACATTGATAAGATGATTTTTGTAAATAGTTCAATGGTGTTTAAAGTCAATGGAGAGATACAATAAATTGAATGCAAATTGTCTAAACGAATATTGTTTTTGCGGATACAATGCATAGATTATGAAGTTTAAACTAACATAACCTTAATTGTATTTGTCTATTTAATTAAATATGTTTGACTGCATAAAACATGCACATATCCTGGTGTGTAACCTATTTGTGTGCAAAATATACTTACCTCTGCAAGTATCAATTGACCCAGTTGACCAGGGTCACGATGGCTGAGCGTGTGCAGCAACAGGGAGGTGCATTGTTTATTATTCAATGAACTTCACACAAACCATATTTTACTTGTGTTACGTCCGATATTTTTAAAGAAAACATTAAATATTTCACATACATGAAAAATATTGTATAGAAGCATTCAGAAAATACAATAAATAACCAACTTTGTTTAATTTTTTGTTGAGAAATTGTAATGTCTTCCGTATTCTTCACGTTATAATCGACTATCTACTTCATTATTTAGTGGTCAGTTACAGAGATTACATCGATTACAAAATCTTAACAATTTGACATTGTTTTATGATGAATGTTTTGGTTAACCTTGCTTGAAATTATTTAAAAACAAGATATAGCATGGATTATAGATATTGAATTGAAACATAATTTGACCTTCGTAAGTTGAGTTGTGTTTACAACCATCCTAAATCGTCCTTTTTTTGGCAAAAACTTTTTTTTGCAAAGAGGGAGGTTATATAATTTTGGTTACCCTCTTTCCACTCACATGACGTATGTACTGCATGGAGTGTGTTACTTCTTGTCAAGAAGTTTTTTTTTTCATTTAGCATTCACTAGTAATTTGTTGAAATAATTTTCACTTTCCTTAAGTATTTTTATAACGGGATAGAATTGTTTTTCTCTCGATCAAATAAGTCAAACACAGAACCTTTTTATTTTTTTTTAAGGATGATGAAGGAAGCAATCCTTTTTAAAATATTTTATTTGTTCTTTTCTATTTTGTCATTGATTTCTTTTTCTTTCCTCATATATATGGAGAACACGTATATATTAAGACAGTGATGGGTGTGTCCGTGCGTCCTATCATTCGATAAGCTTAGAGGTTAATTGACCTCCTTTTCCACTACATATAATTTACTGAGACTTTGATTGAATTTTCGTTTATATCTTAATTTTTGCATAATCGTGATTTATCATAGCAAAACATGGAAACTGTCATTCTTTTCTTTGTATTGGGGATATCCACCTGCTATCTGCAACTCCTTCTATATATACCAATGAATAAAATTTAAAGAGATTTTCATAGAATCTTCATCACAATCATCCATTTGTGTATTCTCTATTTAACGTTTAAATCGGACATATATTTGGAGTTTCCTTCAACGTGGACACTGTCATTTTTCTTTTTCTTCCAATAATATTCGTGGCGTCCATTTCTTATCCCAAGTCCAGGACAGAATCTTTCTAACATAACGTCATTGTGAAACTCCAGTTTTACAACTTGGGCATATATAAGAGGTTTCTCAAAGTCAAACATAGTGCCATTATATTCTTATGGGAGCGGAGGTATTATTTTGTGATATCCATCAATGTCCAGAGCACCTCTAGTTTTTCATTGTTAGGTTAAGAAGTAATATGACTAAGACTGTCCTCAACATCAGAAACGAGAATAATTTTTTAGACAGGAAATTGATAATTTAAATTATAACTCTTTATTTGCTTAATACATGTGTATTATGTCAATTTTCTATGATACAAAGAAAAATCAGTAGGGTGTGGTATGAAGCTTCTGCCCATCAAAAACAGACATAGAATTATATTTTATAACAAATCTGCATAGTATGGCGCTTCTACAAATGTTGATTAGTACAAACATTGTAACCAAGCTCTGGCGTACATTCAAACAATACAAATCAGGAGCAAAGCAAATACGGACTTCTAAATCATTAGACGTGAAATCAGGAGCAATGGAGGAAAGAATATACCCAGCCCACCGTTCACACCCGCCTTGTGCTCCTTCTTATGACCGTAAAAAGGAAAACCCGTAGACAATTCAATTCAGTGTGTAAATAATGGACAAACATGTACTATGAAAAACATCAGTAAGCATTTGACTCAATGGTATGTTGTATATTTGCGGATAATGCCATGGCATCGACAAAAAAAAAACGAAACAAAATGATGACTCCAAACAAAACCGTTACATACTTGTGTCATCATCTTATTTGTCAATAGTTTGCCTCTTTATCATACGTAGAGCATGTCCATGCATATCAGATAAACTGGGAAATAAAAACTTCATAAGCACATGATCAGGGTATATTCCTTTACAAGTAAGGAAAGTTGTCGATTGAAAGTTGAAGAATGGATTACATTTTTTTAACTTAAAAGCTAATCGCAAACATGTTCCAAAATAACAAAGCACAGAAAAATGGTGGACACCTAGTAATTGAGTCCAGGTGTATAGAGGTGAAAAAAGTGAACCCGATTTCGTTTTAACATAGGACGTGGTCATTATCCCAATGGAAAATTTTTAAAGGTGATAAGTAAATGACGAACAGAAACGAAAAGCATCATGGAGCTTCAAAGAAAGTCCTCGATTAATCTATTCTGGTCTGATTAAATCTTATGGCTAATTGGATTGTTTACAAATTTTACAAATTAGAATATACAGTAGATTTCAATTTATATGATTTTAGTTCTAAGGAAAGATCATTATAAATATTTAGTATGATCACTTCGTAGTTTTTAAGCCCTTGAGTAAAAATTCAAATTAACACTTATTTTAAAATACTAGTAATATTGAAAATAAAACGCACTTTTCATCATATGCTTATAATTGAAAATAATACAAACTCTCAACCATTTATATAAGCTTAATGAATATTCCAAATCAAAACTGAGTTTAAAGTCAGTTTCTGTTTCTTAGTATACGGTAGGAGCTCACCAATATATTTGAATTTGGGGACAATTTTATTAACATATCCAGAAGGTTTTTTCATTGCATTTCATTAAAACTATTAAATGACGAATGTATATAGCAATTTTGTTTCATACTTGGATATTTTACTTGAAAAAGACGTTAATAGTAATCTAACAACCAAGCTATATGATACACGTGATGACTTTAACTTTTCTATCGTCAACTTTCCTTACTTATGCAGCAATATACCTTCATCACCTGCATACGGAGTGTATATATCTCAGTTGATTCGATACGCAAGAGCATGCTCTACGTATGAACAGTTTCTAAAACGAGGTAAATTATTAAAAAGCAAGTTGATGAAATAAAAATATCAACAGTCTCGTTTAAAGTCATCTTTTCGTTAATTCTACACTAGTGTATGGTCGATACATTGACATTGTCAGCAAATACAATTTATCATTGAGACAATTTTTCATACTAATTGTCAGTCCATTATTTATACACTGAATTGACGACGATTTTTCCGTGATTTAACGATCATGACAAGGAGCACACGGCGGGTGTTTTTGTGGAATATTTTTGTGGAACATTTTTTATTTATACTATTGTATTTTTTTAAATCTTATGCTTTTTCCATGTTTCAAAAAAAGATTGAAGAGTTTTAAAATATATAAACCCCTGTTGATTTAATGAATTAATATCTATTTTATTACACTTGTGTTAGCACATCTAGAATTAAATTGTACAGGTATATATCAGGGATTATACAACTTTCTTTGTAAATGTTTATTTAATTTTTAATGAATCTATTTCTATTCATAAACTCTCAAGGGAAGCCATAACAATTTTCAAATATTAATCTTGCTTCTTTATATGTGCACGGTTTGCATTATTGACTGATAAACTTGCTGCATGTACTTCCTGATTTCATAAAGAACACTAAATGATTTCAACCAAAGAGGTCAGTTCGTACGGTTATCCAGTACTAAACGCCAATCAACTTTCCCTTCTTTGTGTGATAAAATATTGATACTTAAATTCAAACGTCTCGCTTCCCCAACAAGGAGCGGAGGGGTTCCCACAAAGAGACTAGTGTGAAGACATAGGGTGCAATCATCACTTCAGATGACGTATGAATGGTGGTCACCAACAATCAAAGGTAGATACAGGCGGACTGGAAATACTTGTTGTTAAATATAGTTCACATCTCACATATAAACATGTGCCTTTTGAAGTAGTTTGTCAAGTTGCTAGTTTTGAATTCATCAAATAGCAGTATAAACAAAATAATAACACGACAAACATTTTGATTTTGTGCTCATTAAATTCAGATTAATAATATATTTTTAGTATTGATAACCTTTTTTTCCGCATTTCCATTTGCCTCTCGGACAGTGTTTTTCTCAGAGAATGAGCAGTAAAATTACTATGATAATTCTCTCCGTCTTTAGATATGAAACTGAGATAGTTTGTTTTAAAAAGGTCTTTCAAGATGATAAGAAAAGAATCATTTCATCCTAAATACTCGTACATTGATTTGTTTAATTTCAATTCATTTTGCAAAATAATAACAAAGGAATTAATTACAACTTGTGTATAGGCACCTGAATAAAATAAATAATATATTAAACAACAATATTTTTAAACATTTATTTCCACATTGCACATATGTTAAAAGGAAACACAAAGGAAAAGAATAATGTAGAGATTTTTAGATATTTTAAGGATTAAAGAATCTTGCGTACAAACTCCACTCACTGCTGCTGTAAGATTCATATGCATATTTATCATATATGTCGGCTCTTTTCCTTTTTATTGTTAGCTGTCATGAACATACCATTACGTTTCTAACCATAAGAGAAATATTTTTCACCCTTGGCAGTATTAAAAATTTAGAGAAATTAAATGTAATTGATGTTGAACTTAATTTACATAAGACTTTACATGTACTTTGAACCTTACTCACAAGTAATATTTTCCTTGTTCTCAGTGCATTGCGGAAACGCCTGGCTCACGTGTCGTTGGTAACCTCCTGACCAAAATGAACCAAAAGAAAAGGCATGTGACATAAAGTGTATTGTAAATGTGTAACAAAGGAAATATATTTATATTTTTAAAGGATGAGGAATATAAAACATAATATATAAATTTGAGTAATTAAAAATACATACTCGTGACCATGTGTTATGAACGTTTTTTTTTTCGCTGCAATTGATTCAAAATAAATTTAGAATTAAAGAGAAAGAGGTTTACTGAACTCTGTCTCTCTCTCGAACTCTCTCTCTCTCTCTCTCTCTCTCTCTCTCTCTCTCAGGACAAACCCATGTCTTTCTGAATCAATGCACTAGCCCTGCTTCTTCGTTGACAAAACTAAGTTTATTGAATTGATATGTCCCAGTTTCCTTGTAATTTTTAGAAGAAAAATGGATATTATAGTTAATACCAGATTTCCTTTCTACCTCCAATGCATTTCGTCGTACAAATGCTGAAATAAAAAAAACTGAAATTAAAATAAAACTTTAGATATAAAATATCTTTATAAATCCAGAACATATGCAGTGTTTACTCTAGTATGTTTGCTTTATTTTCATGTTTTCCTGCTATAGATATGAAGAGACACAGTGCGCTATAGATATACTTTATCAGTATTTTATGTACGACCAATGCATTTGTTTTTAAACTTACTATGCTGGTGTCAAAATGTTACACTAGAGTCTTCAGTAATAGAGAGAAAACAAGATTGACCAATAAAGTGAAGTAACTACATTTACCTTTAAATTTATTTTCTAGGATTCCTAAACTATGTTTTCTGCGTATTCAATTTGAATTTTACATATATTAATTGTCTATATAGGCAATATTCGTCAAACATAAGAGAACAGAAAATTGTGAGTAAATTTATGACACTGAAAATATACAGTATATATGGGAGAGGTCTATCTAAGTTTTTGAAACTTGTGTCCAATTCCTTTGACATATTGTTAATAAAATATGTTGAAAACAAACAAAACAGTACTGTAGATTCCTTATTTTTCGCGAGTACTTATTATCGCAAATGAGTGAGAATAATAATTCGCGAATGGACGGTTGGTTAAAAGATTTAACATAGATTTCAGCACCATAAAAATGAAGACGAGTAATTTTATTTCGCGTGTGGTGCTTCTCGAGAAATAACGCGATAATTAATTCCGCGCGTTTATTTAGGAATTTACAGTAATGTAATATCCCTATAGTAAGCTTAAAATCTTATTATGCATAATATTACTATAATTGCAGTAAAAGTAAAAAAAAAATGATATTATATTTCTCTAATACTCCAATTTCTCTGATTTGCTGAAACACGACCACACGATCAAGTATATAACAGCATAATTATGTACATTTGTTACACTTAAAAGATTCTGAAATGCATATACACGTGATGTTTCTAAAAATAGGGGAACATCCTTTTTAAAACCAATAGTGTAAATTGACATTAGCTAAATATGATTTGATGGCTTTTTTAAAAAGATTATTTTTAATTCTAAATGTTAATAATACAGTATATTATGACCATCTGTAATAATTCCTAAAAGGTAACGATACGTTGGATATTGGTCTACCATATGTTGAAACAAATTTAATATATTTTTCATATATTCAATAAAATTATAATCAAGCAAATGTAGCTTTATTAATTGTCACATCAGTATAAGTTTACACAATGACATTCAACAGCTAACCTCTATTTAATCTCTGTATGAAAACAAGGTTTATTTTTAATATTTTTCAAGTTTTTTTTCTTGTCAATCTCTTAACAAAGTATTATAACAAATGTACCCTTTCATTCGGTCTATCCATAGATATATCGACTTGATAAAAATATCACATCGTTATATGCTTTTCCGTCAAGCTGATGCTGTTTTTAGTTAAGTGAATTTTATCAGAAAGAAATGACATTTTGCCTCCTAACCTTGCATCATTAAAGAATACTCCAAATATATCTGTGGCATTTTGTTAATCTCCCGGGCATATAATCTACAACAATTTTTGTATCCTCCATCAGCTTTGAACAATAAGTGATATTGATGTTTTTCTAGTGGATTGTTTAGATCGTTAAATTATGTGTATGATATTCTTATTACTGTTTGATATTTTGTTTTTCCTAGAAAAAGCACACATGCGTAGTTTTTCTGTATTTGTGTAAACTATCATTGTACAGGGTAAAAATAAAAATGTCAAGATGATTTTTTTCTTCTTGTGTGTTTGTTTGAAGCTTTTTTTTCATTTAAAAAAATATATTTTGATTTGTTTTGTTTTAATTAAGTTTATATTGTTTATATGATTTCTATATTCTTTTTACTTCTGATTCAGGTATATTTTTTTAATACAAGGGGCGTGATTATTATTTAAAGCAAAAGGGAAAAATGTTTATTAATATTAAAGGAAGCTTTTTTTAATGTTTGCCGTTTTAAATAAATATTTCCACGTCGTCTCTAATCAAATCCTTTAGATTACATTTGTTAGTATTGACAAGCTCACTTCCTGCATAGTCATCTGAGGGTCAGTCTAATGACCGCAAATTCACTCCATTCTGGTCAAGATCCTCCGAGTACATGTGGACAGAAATAAAATAATAGCGTGTAATATTATTGAATAGGTCTTCAAGATAAATAGCATAGAACTTTAAAAAAAACAACAAAAAACGAAAACAAATTAAATGTCATACATGAAAAAATGTTTAATAACATGGTTTACCTTGATATGATGTCTAATAATACAATTAAAATATCAGGAATATTCATAACATAGGGATAGTTTTAAAGAAGATAATTAACATTTCTAAGACCCTTTATTTATTAAAGTTTTGAAACAGTAATACAGGTATTATGAGATTAATGTCTGGTCCAGAATTTAGAGATTACAATTTAGAAAAATAATAATAATCTCTTAAAACTCAAGATTACACTTTTACATATGAACTGATTACTCAAAGTTTATGGATGTTGATTCCGCGAAACTCTTTTTCCTACTGATTTGTAGGGCAAGCAATTCTGTATAATGATAACTTAAATTAATGTATATCTTAAAATCATAATGTAACGCTAACAATTATTAAATTTGCAGTTCATTATATCTATATATAATCGATTTCGTCATTTTTACCTTTCTCATTAATTTCACTTATGATGTTTTGGAGGTCTTTGTTTGCTCTGTTCTTGATTTTATTGTTTGGATAGACTTAAGGGCTTTAATACTTTTTGTTATCTCCATATATTTCAGTTTAAAAAAAAATTTACCGTTAAATGTTGTCAAGGAACAAAACATTTAAATAACATCACTGTATTTAAAAAACTCAATGTATTTTTATCAATGGTCACTAATAAGGTCCTGATAACTCTAGATTTAGAAAAAATGACGAAAGGCAACCGTTAAATAAAATCTACATTCCTTAAAGGTTCCTCGCCAACATTTGACACTTGATTTTATGGTTCATCAAAATCTATCAATAAAAAATTAGGAAGTTTAAACAGTCATAATGACTAATCAATTTTTAATTAGAAGTTAAGATGATACAAATTATTTTTTGTTGCTGGATGCATGAGTGAACAAATAAATAAACAAAAATTACATCTCTGATTACAACTACATGTACGCTATTTCAATATTTTTTCTACTATTTTAACAATTTTTCGTGCTTTTTCTCGTAAAAATGTTTTATTTTAGTACAAATTCTTTTATTTGAGGACAGCAGAAATCACAAACATGCACTTGCAATGTATATACAGTTTATTATATGAACTGTTATATCTTCTGACAAATACACTCAAGCCCTTACATGTGTATCATAATAAAATAATCTATGAAATGTATATTCCTTATTCAGATCAATAATGCATTTTCCTTTATTTAGAGGACAATCTGAATACATTATATAAAATTATCATCGTTTAATACCTGTACATGTTATCTCTTCACAAACAAAAGTACTTGTCCCCCTCTCTAGACCTCTTCCTTACTTCCATAACAAATCGCCGGTCATCGCCTTGAGACCTTATCTTTAAAGAGAATCAGTACGTACATCTCTAAGTCATGGTCAAACAATACTAAATCTTAACATAATGCACGTATTACATATTTTATCAAAATATTGCCGAAATACCATCACAGTGTGTTTCCTATCCACGGTTTTTTTAGGGTTCCGTTTTGTTTTTGTTTTTTTGTTTTGTTTTTTTTTTGTTTTTGTCCTTTTTAAGAAAATTAGAGGATAAATGACATTGATCACTGTCCGTTATCTCCACCTTTTTCACTAAATTGTTGATGCTTTGTACGCTGTGAAGCATAGCCATATTTATTTACAAAAATTAGTATTAATTGGAGAGGGGGTAGGGGTATACTTTTAGATCTACCAATGTTAAGATTTGTAGAAACAGGATTAGTCTGCTCAGATTAAATGAGTATCTATAGTTTTTCATATCACATGATTATTTCTCAAAGATATTCCGTGTGAAACATTTACTAAATATGATGTAACTTTTACAAATATGATGTAACATTTAATATATGTGCTTTGATACAAATTAAAAAAAACTACTTACGAAAACACTATATAGATTATCTATCTTCAGAATATTATTATCATACACAAACCTGAATGAAATAAACTTTCCAAATCTTGCACAGATCTTTAAAAGTCATCTTGTAAATTAAAACAAAATGTGCAAATGAAATTTATGGAGATAACGAACAATATTCAAGCTCAAAAGTCCATAAAACAATACAAAATAGGAGCGGAGCAAACACGGACCTCCAAAATATTAGAGGTGTGATCAGGTGCCACGGACGAGTGAGCATACCCACCGACAGGCCACGCCAGTCGTGTGAGCTCTTTACCATGATAAAAAAAATTGCTCAACAAGTACAGGATTTTTAAAGGACACTTTAAGCAGATTAAAGTTATACGACCTGTAAAAAAATATAATTCAACAAAATAATATATTTTTTTTTTTACCTTCCTAAATTGGAAAACTGTCGTTTAATCTGAAGTTGATATTAAAAGGATGCTGGAAGTACGCATTGACATAATAAGGAGCCCTATATTAAGGGCAGGTAATAGATGTATAACATTTTTATGAATCATTTGTGATAGTTTACACGGCTTACTTAATTCTTACAGGTTAGTAAACACCGTTTACTGTTTAAATATAAGAATTCTTATATGAATTATTTTTAATGAGCAGGCTGTCAAAAATGTAAAAAAAAAAAATAACAGTAATTTCAATTTTGATTTAAATGAATTTAAGAAGTATGTCCTATTTGGAACCCAAAACACCCCAAGACGTCGATGTTCTTTTCTAAATAAATGAGAAATTAAAAAAAAAAGAGCAAAGCATAGAATTACATCGCGATTTGCGACATTAAATGAAAGCATATCAACTTCTTGAATTTATAATGCGTACGTGTACGTAATGTACAAAAGCTACAAGGGTTGATTAGTCCTTGTAGGCACCTGATCCTACTGCTGGTGTTTCCAGGTTCTCTAGCCTTGCTCACAATCTGTAGACTTTGCTGAACTTATGAAACTAATCACTACTCGTTTTCTTAGCTTTATTATAATGACTTTCCGTGAAGGCATTAACGCCTTCCAGTAATTTGAAACTTGTCCTTTGTTTCTCCATGTATATTATTACTGCAATAAACAAAATGAATTGACCACTCAGTTTTTGCATATTAACAATAAGTAAACATTTACTAGATATGATGTAACTTTGACTAAATATGATGTAACATTACTAGATATGCTTTGGTACATGAAAATGAAACATATGGAGATAACGAACAGTATTCAAGATCAAAAGTCCATTAAACAATAAAAATATAAGCAGAGCAAACACGGACCTCTGAAACATTGGAGGTGGGATCAGATGCCATGGAGAAGTAAGCATCCCCTGTCGACCGGTCCCAACCGCCGTGTGCTCCGTGTCATGACCGGGAAATAACGGAAAATCCGTCGTCAATTCAGTGTATAAATAATAGACTAACAATTAGTATGAAAAACGTCAGTCAGCATTTGATTCAATGATAAATTGTATCAGCTGACAAGGTCATTGTATCGACCATAGAACTTACGAAATGATGACTTTAAACGAGACAGCTGAAATTCTTGTTTTATCAACTTGTTTGTCAATAATTTACCTCGTTTTAGAAATTGTTCATACGTAGAGCATGCTTTTGCGTATCAAATCAACTGAGATATATAAAATATATGCAGGTTATGAAGGTATATTGCTGCTTGAGTAAGGGAAGTTGACGATAGAAAAGTTAAAGTCATCATGTTTATCATAGAGCTTGGTTGTTAGATTACCATTAACGTCTTTTTTCAAGTAAAATATCCAAATACATGTATGAAACAGATGTGTCAGACTCCGTGGTATCTTTATCTCAAGCTGACCAGAATATATCCTATCGACATAAGAATGGAAATTATCATTGTACGGAATCCGTCGGTGCTTTGTGTGGATCAGGGCACTCTTTACTGGTATAAGTGATATAAACATTTTCTCTGATTTCCTCCAGTTTTAGTATTAAGGTGATGTCACATGCACAGTAAAAAGATAATGATCATACAGATTCCAAATTCATTCCACGAGCGCTTTTGGAATTTAATAATCCATTGAATAATGCAAACATATGAACCAATATCTAAAATGCTAAATATCTAAGTGACAGGAAATGGTAATGAAGGGAAAGGGGTGCAAAGAAACGTGAGTAGCAGAGGTTGTAGGATTGCTCACAGATCACTAAAGCTTTAGTTTAAAAAGATTATTCTTAAAACTGGCGTAAAAACAAAAACATTCAAACTATTGTTCTACATTTGCAAATAAGTTTTAGGCGTTCGAGATACATTCTTTGAAAAAACAAACAAGGAACTGTTCGATTTTGAATAGTTATGAGCAAGTTTAAACCTCATGTACTTTTAAAAATCGATAATTACAAAAAACAAACTGGATTTAATTAGATAAAGGTGTCAATAACAGTCTAGCAAATAGATTTGCATTTTGTGTGCTAATTGTTAATTTAAAAATGCTTTAAAATAAGGCATAATTCATGTAATTTTATGTTAATAATTGTATTACATTTATGAGGTATGTAACACTTAAATTAACAAATACTTTCTTACTGAATTGAAATGCATTTATATGCTCAGAAAATTAAGGGTGTGCTTCCAGATAAATAGTGCTAACAACTTTGTCTGCATTTGCAAAAAAGTGGAGATTTATCCCTATGATGCCTTAATATTATCTCCCTCTTTATATATGCAAATTACAGTGGAAAGTAAATTGACCATAAAAGCTTTCTATAAATAAAATATTACTAACAGTTCTATACCTACGGAAAATTGATGATTTTTAATTATTGTTATAGTGTGGAGAGTTTAAAATTACGACAAACATATCCAAGTTCCATTTATCAATTAATTAAATGATGAGTTCTTTTTATTCGATGTTCAATGCGAATTCCAGTTAATATACATATATAGACGAATAGTAAGTAATATTGTTTGCCTAATAAATATTAAATTGCTTTCCAACCTCAATGGAAAATCGATATTCAAATGATAAGTACTTTTAGATTTAAATCATATTCTATTATAAATATTTTTTCCCTTTTTAAAAAAGAGCAATATACAAATATGCAATAATAAATGAAAGCTGAACAGATTTGCATTTGAAAAATAACCCCTTTGTAACAGATGCCGGTGCTAGCCATACAGTATAGATACACGCCCTGTGTATGACACAGTAGTGATAGTCATTTAACTGCACTTAGTCAGTGCCATGGAAATTCCTAACTTCTAAAATTATTCATACTTTAATAATTAGTCACATTTATCAATAAGTCTTTACTAAGAGGGGTAGATGCAGAGGCTGTTTTTTTTAGGGAATTTCCGCGCTAAAAGTTCCCGCCCGACTGACGACGATACAACGCAGCCGTCAGTTCACGAAAACGACTCTCTTTCATTAGTTCTAGTATTGATTGATTTCTGTCTCGTCCTCGGCGAGAAATTATATATATTTAGTAGCACCCGATTCTGTTTACAAGTTACCAGAATGTTTGTCTGCGCAAGCACTCTATAAACGCTGCGGCCAGCTAGAAGACAGACAAGCGACCCCTAACTTGTTCAACCTATAGCTATTGAGATACATGACACGAGTTACGCCCCTTGAAACTACGTTAGAGTTATAAATAAAACATAAACACTAAACGTGCCGAGACCTGACTGATAATACACATGTTTAAATGACACAAGTATCGGATAATTGCTAAGTGCGGTCATTAAAATATCACCTGGTGAGTTAACCAAACATAAGGAAAAGTATTGATAACTATTACGTAACAAATATCACTAAAAGGAATAGTACTCACAAAATTGGCTTTAAAAATTCTTTATTTTCAAATTTTACAAAAGTTTTCTTTGTTTTCAAAATGCATATTATAAAAATCATTTCTTAATAAATATGACTTTTTAATGGTTTAAGTTTTCGCCATTATTTTTTCAGCGCATCAGAGGTCGGGGGTGACTACAGTGGGATGACACACAATATTATTTTTAGATCCTTCTCTTCTTGTATCTGACCGTCACAGCAGTTTTGCATCTGGAGAAAATATCTACGTCATCCCCTGCGAGACTTCGCGGGAACTTGGTATTATTATTATTTTTCAAATTCAAGAGACGGAGGCCCTGTTTTTACTGGCATTGTCGACCTGACGTGATGGAGTTGGACGATATTTCGGACTGCGGGAGTCTGGAGGACGGCGAACTGGACGAGGAATTACTGTCTGCCACGATGGAGGCGCTGCAGACAGGAAAACTCACGCCACTTCTAAAGACGGAGCTTAAATGTAGAATCCAGAAAAAGTGCTTTGACGAGGGGAAAGATTTAACTTTGGACGACGAACCAAAAATGGTTCAAAATAAACCCCCGGTAAGCACTTGTTGTTTTTATCATAAATATTATTTATTTCAGTTTTGCGTTTCCTTATTTGTATGAATTATTAAATTGATATGAAATTATATGATATGCAAATAGCAGATTTAGTTTTCTAAAAATGTTAATTATTATTAAGTTTTTAAAAACTTTTTTTTAAATTTATGTTTCATCCCCACATGGCGGCTTCGGTTCTATAACATTTCCCTCTTTCAATCACGCGGGTAGGCTTTTATGGACAAGTGTTTGTTAAATTGCGCAGTTAATTTATCAAGCATATGCTCAGACAAAAAAACTTAGATTAAACCGTAAGATTATATACACTTTTAATGTAAGTTTCTTTGAAGATCATTTTTGATGAAAATCTTATAAAAAAAATATTTTGTGTAAATTCATCTTCAATAATTATTTTACATAAAAAGACTTTTTGAAGTTTTGAATAAGTAAAAGTCTATAATAATAGAATGAAATTATTGTTGTATTTTTTAGCTAATAATAATCACAATATTTTATTATTTTATCTGAATAGTATAACTTTTAAAGAATTTATGTAAAGATTTAACCCTGCTATATTTTTATAATTTTCATTTAATAATTAATTGGAAACTTCAAAGATACATATTCCATTTTAGGTTTAAATATATTTAATTTTTAAACAATCACGATATATAAATTAATTTTCTTTCAAAAAATAAATTAAGCTCAAAATTACAAGCTTCTGTTATTTTTATTTATTTTTCAATAATTTATTTTAACTTTAAACCGACAGAACTATATTTTAAAAAAACGTTGTGGTTGATAGTTACACATAACTTGTTTTTTTAACATTTCGTACCATTTATGTATGTTTCTGAATTGAAGATTAAATTATTTTATAAATAAGAATGATGAGGAAAATATAAAAATTTTCGTCCATCTCTCTAGGAAGAAAATGCCGTTTTATAAAAAAAAATATTTTATTTAAAAAAAAATTATATTGACAAAATAAGAAATCGCAACAAAGAAATATCTTAATTTGTTTTTAATTCTAATATGGGAGCCCTTCTTTCTCCAGCTACTGCCATTTGAGATAGAGAGACTGGAAAGAAGAAAAGAACAGAATCGCCGAGCCGCCAAGAAGTTCCGCCAAAAAAGGCGACAAGCATCGGGAGAGTTGAAGAAGGTTAAAAGGATTTATTTTTATGACATACCGGGTGCACTTTAATAATGTTTATAACAGATATATAAATAAAAAAAATATAAACTTCCTTGTCAATAAAAAAATAAGCTGGATCTGTTACCTTTATTCGAGTATTTGAAAAAATTAAACATCAAAGATAACATTTTTGTGATTTTGTGTTGACCACAAACAAACTCAGTTGGTGCAGTGTGTCCCAACAACAAAGATATTACTGAAATCATTCGGTCGAGAGAGAGAGGAAAAAAATCAACACAAAAATAAAACAAAACAGAACAAAAAATATACTTACATTCAGATTTGATAGCAAATCCTCAATTAAAAAAAATTAACTGGTGTTCCCAATAAAATAAAACACAGATCACTTAACCAGATAAAATATGCTGCAGATATCCTCAATATATAAATAAAAATATACTTGCAACTTAGCTAACGAAGACGACGAACAGACGAAATATATCAGAGGAAAAGTTGATGACTAACAGACTTTCATCCGATGAACTGAATCACCCTCTATCTGTAACAGGGGAGCGGCCTGACCACAAAACAAACAAAACTCGCTCACCCCAATTAAACTGACCGAGATTTTATTGATATTTTTCTATATAAAAACTAAATCATCCAAAAGTTGATATGCGATCAAAAAATAAAATTTTATTGGACAAATTTGTTATTTCAAAAAATAAAGTTATTTTAGTAAGTTTTAATGATTTAAAATAAACTCTTGTATACAACTATCTCATTTTTAGACATAGCGATTGTTTACTAAACAAAAGCAAAGTTAAATAAACAAATAAAGGAAAATTGTTTATCGATATATCACGAGTTTACAATAAAATAAATAGTCTTTTTTTTTCTACAGTACAGTCTCATTAAGCCATATTTACAAAATGAACTTTTAATCACTTCAGTAGGAATGATGTCGTATTAAACGTTAGTATATATGTCCGGTAAAAACTATTTCTTTACATTTTCATCAAGATTGTCGTCGAATTGGAGGAAAAGAACCGCCAGCTCAAAGAAGAAATTAAGAGACTACTGACGGAAACGGACATGATTCGAGCCGTGTTGTCCAGTCAGCTGTGTTCGCCGGAGCCCGAGACCCTCCCTCCCTCAGGGTCATCGCTTCACCCCCGGGAATTCACCCTACACTGACACTGATGGTCGTTAATTGTTTGCATATTGTGTATAAACTGTCAATCTTTTCATCTCATACATGCATATAGACCACAAAGATGGGTAATTCAATTTTTGTTTTGAGTCATTATCATAAATTATAAATGAAGCATCTCATATGTTGAACATAACTGAAAATAATAACTGCAGATTGTTCTCATATTGATAACATAGAAGCAAGTTTATACTGTTGTGAAAAAAAAAAACGAGTTAACACTTAGTAATAGGGGATTAAGATTATCTAGGCTCTTAACTGATGCTTAGGTGGCATATAAACTAATCAACAGTATAATTCTTCGTCTTCTAATTAAAGCAATGAATATATGTGGCCTTACCTCAGCTGTTTCTCAACGAGAAAAATTCCGTAACAGACTCTCAAATTCATCTCAGTCCTGAAAAAGACAAATGCTGTCTCTAACAAAATAGCTTTTGAAAAAGTTGATCTCAATTTTGTATATTGCATATCATCAAATGATGTAAAATTTGCATTGTTTTGTCTAATGAAGTAGATTAGAAAAATATTTACAAAAATTGTCTTTAAAAAAATATAAAAAATGTGATTTAAAAAAATTAGTTATATAGTTTACAATAGATTGTTAAATATTGTACAGATTTATCTTGGCATGGAGAAAACATAACTGCAATGTCGACAAGATGGCTGTTGGTAAACAAATCTTACATTGTTGTTTTTTTCTATATTGGTATCTTGTATATTTGGGTTGATGACAGTAGGAACTTTTTTTCCAGAGTCTCTTATTTTTGGGCTCAATGGCATTCCTCGTTCTTTCGAAGTTTTATTTGTTCTGAGGAATGGAGATGTGTTCGTTGTCCGATAAGGCAACATATCCAGTATATTTAATGATGGAGTTTGTACTACTTCCTATTGTTTCAGATAACGCACAATGTTCATGTTTTATGTGTTGCTTTGCGTACAGAAAAAATGTACAAGTTTTGTTTTTATTATTTTTTTTGTAAATAAAATATTCTTTACAAATAATTATGTCCTTGTAGTCTGTACACAACACACATTAATGTATTCTTTCCGTCCATTAGACTCCAAGAAAATCGTCGTAAAATATTATTGTCATATTTAAACATCTATAACTGATCACATACACTGTTTTGGCTGCTTTCCAAAGTCGATAGACTTTGACATACGCCTCGCCGATACTAGCTGATCGACTGGGGTCACATTAAAGGTCACTCTAACACAGTCCAGACGGTTGTGACATCACCGGGACAAGCATTGAGCGCCGAAGTTTATTTTAAATTCCGGATAATATATCCTCCGAGGTTGTTGTCCAAATTCGTCCCCTTTTCTGGATAAAATTCACCTCCAGGATCGATATTTGTGTACCTGAAGCGAGCTTCTAAAACTGGAGTAACAATAACAAATAGTGCTGCATGTTGAGGACCGGCTGTTCTGTTTTTTCCATGTTCCACAAGCCTCCGAGGACGCCTAGCTGTGAGGTTTACACACTTCACTTGACGACAACTTCCCGGGCAGACGACCGGATACTCACAGTGCAAACTATCGTCTGGTCACGGAGACCTTTACGTACCAATGTCAAACAGATAGATGATAACGTTTCATTTTGCCAAAGAATTGCCGACACAGCATCTTAAATGTCTTGCTTTTTCATTCATGGCGAATTTGCAAAAGAGGAAGAGTTTACAAGGATGTGTTACGTGAATGAAATTCGTTCTCCCGGAAATAAGGAGAAAATTTGAATATTCATATCTGGTGGAAGTTATATGACCTAGGATTTTTGAAAAATCAATCAGTCAACTTCCCTAATTCGATCTGCATCCCGATTCCGACTTGTATGTACCTTTTCATGGAAACATTAGCTGCAAATGCAACCAGCTTTCAATATATGACACGGAGTAGGTTCACATTTATAATTTACTTTGAGAAAATTATGACGAATGACAGTAGAAGGTACTGAAGAAAAAGTTGACAGTGGAACGGACTCGAAAGATTCCATGGATCCAAACTGATGAAAAGAAACACTATGACACTTACCTGTTCATTTACCTGTGCATCAGAAGTGATGGAAACCGGTAGCCGTGATGATAAGAAATTGAGCGTAACCAGATTGCCTGTTCACCTGATATGCCACCTTGTGTTATTATAATATAATATCTTTTCAAAAGGCGTAGAAAGATACATATTTTCAAAATGTAACGGGTTTACATTTGACAAGAGAGATAAAATATTAGTGAAAAAGATTCTATCTAAAAAGGATCAACCATAAAAAGAAAAATCGCACTTGGATTTTTAACGTGTGTTTTTTGTTGTTTATGTCATAAATGCAATTACAGATGGTAAATTTATTTTTTTTTTCTCTATCAAAGAAGTGCTATTCTATGGAATTCTATAGAATTACCATCTGCCAGGCATCGACAATGTTGGATAACTCAGGTATTCAATTTCAGAATATCAAAGCGACCTTTGTCAGGTAATAAACAAAATATTTCTCTCCTACATCAATAAAACTTTTTTTATTTTTCTTTGGAGAATTTTTTTAAAATTAATATTGAAATGTCAATAAATATTTTTAAAAGAATATTTTATTCAAATGCAAATATAAAGCCACAATTTAAAAAAAAATGTATATCATAGAAAAAATAATGACAACACATGATGTACATAATTTTATTTTTAAAAATCACCTTATATTTTGATTATACAAAATAGGATGTATGCATTTTTAGATGCATAGAAATATATATAATTAAATAATAACATATTTTTGTGAAAATAAATTATTTCTTGTTGCATAAAAAATTAAGTTATTTTTCCAGATTCAGCTTAGATTTTTCCTGAATAATATTGTTCATTTTAATGCCAAATCTGCAAGAAAAGTGTATTAATATTGACTTAAAAATGTCTCTTAAAAAATATACACTGTGCTTACTAATGAACAAACATTAACCTATTTTTATCGTAGAAACCTGTAGATAATATCGTTAATGTCAATGAATTTTCGTATTCAGACCTCTGCATGTGTTTTATAAATATATATTAGTCAAATATCTGATGAGAAAAGAAACCTGTGTTGTTAATCAAAATAGCGGGGGGAAAAGACTCAAGACAAACCCCAAATAATGAACATTTCTAATAGAATTCATGTTCAACTTCTGAAAGAATTAATGTAATGACCATGGCGAAGAACGGTTGCAATAAAGCGAGTATTTTGATACATATCTATTGCCAAATTGTGTATAATTTACTCTTTCTTTCTTTTTAGCATTCTCTCTGTGAAGCAACACATACAGTGCTGTGAAACTGCAAGAATCTTTTGTCTTTTTAACATTAATATGCATACATTTCAAATGAGATCGAGAAGAAATAAGATTTACAAGCTTATCCTCATGTTTTATGTTTTACATTTTGTGTCAGTATTGGCATAATATATCCATGGGATAGGTATGGTTTTTCCTAGTTGCATTTGATTGCCACTTTTATTAAAATTAAAGCCCATACTTTTGTTTAACAACACACCATTTTCCAAACAATGGTTGAAGATTGGTGTGTGAATTGAACCGTGGAATAAACTATCACGTGTCCATTTAAAAAATCAATGATTTAAAATGCGTCCTGGACTGATTTCTTGATATAAATAATATGCTGTTGCAATGTGCAAAGTACAGGAACAGCAAAGGCGTTATCAGATAAGTAAATATCTAGTGAACAGCTGTTGGCAAGTCACATAAACGATATTGTCAAAGTACGAGGGATTCCGAACGAATGAAAACAAAAGAGGTCATAATTAATAATAAAAGCTTCAGCAGTTTGAAAGTAGGATGGGTACTACTGAAGAGTGGCGACTATCCGTCTCCTACTTCATAATTGTTATTTTTCTTAATTATGATTATTATGATTAAAAATACTTTTTATCTGAATCGTACTAGAAAAAGTTTGCTCTCTCGTTGGTGATGTTTTAAATGCAGTCTCAATGGTTGGTGGCTTTATTCAAAATAAAGTATTTTGAAATGCATCAAGTGTTTCTCAATTGTTGAATGTAGTGGAACGTCGGAAGATTATGCTAAGAAATGAGTATCTAATCAAGCTTGAGCATTGTCTAGTTTTATTAAATTGTTTAAAACAGGTACCTCACATTTTACACAGTTTTTGGTTATAGGCTAACTCTTGAGTTATTTGAATCTTTGAAGGTAATCATTTTCCATTTGTTCTTTTTTTTTCATGTATTACGATGAAGATCATCATTGGTGTACACCAATTTGTTGGTAATTTAAATGCATATTATATATTTATTTATTCTAGAGGGCACCGTTTATATTAAATATGGGATAAGACTACAATCTTTATGACTTTTTTCATTGAATTGTTATAGTTAATGTTACTTTAAAAATATATATTTTTGAAATTTATACAAGTCTTTGAGACACATGTGTGCGTATTCTAATAATATTATAAAACGTACATAGATGGTCTGCTTTATTACTGAATTATATTATACATTGTATGTCAAAATTTCTTGGAAAAAAAATTATAGTTGTCCAATTAATCAGTTAATGGAATTGATCTGTCAAGATAATTTAGATTTGTAAATTATGTAAATGATCTCTCATTCCATATGTTGATTTATTTCTGATAGAATTCGCTAAACATACTGTCATTATACACGAAAATAAACATGTGAAATAAATTACGTGCTGCAACATAACGTGAATTTGAAAGGCTTTGAAACCGGAAATCTTGTAAAATGCAACTGATATTCTTCAGATTATTTTTTACACTGAATGGCAGGGGAAGGGGATGGCCACAGATGTGCACATCCGGTCTGGCTGATGCATTTAACAATTTGTCATGAAGTAAGCGAAAGTTTCCTGTCAAACTCTCACAGTTGTCATAGTGACATACGTGAACGAGTGTCAAAACTCTTCATAAAACGTGTCAATAAAATGACAAATTCAAAAACTTGGACAAAAGACAGTAAAAAATATTCAAATACTGTGCAGTGATTTAAAGTAAGATTTTTTTTTACAAAATAATTTCGTTTATTATCGAATTAAAGTTTATACCTTTTTATATATTTTTTCACTAGCTTTAAAATATAATCTAAGATTTAAATTCTTATATATGCAGTGATAATAGATTGACTTACCGCATGGTCCTGTGTCTACCTCCAACAAAGAAAGAACGATTTTCCTAACACCTGAAAAGTAAAGACAAACTATCAGTGTTTTGTCCAATCAGAATTCAATATTTATGAATACAATACAGCAAATTCTTGAAGTTTAAAAAATAATGCAGGAAAGGTGTAGAATTAACAAAGGATGAAATTCTCTTGTGATAAAAATCGGATAATAATTGTGTCAATGGTAAATTTACACCAATTACTTTTTTTACGTGGTTTCGCACATGTCATGGTTAAGCGGTTTCATCTTGATGGCAAGGTTAAATAAATTGTCGAATACAGCTGACTTCAGCATTACCTTGGTAATCAGAAGTGTGCACGTCAGTCACCACCTGGGGGTGCTGCATCTGATTTCTGAGGAATCACTCTTGTGTAACATTTGCGTGGGAGACAGCCGTTACGAATCTTATTAATGTATTGTATTTATTTTTAATTTTCGATGCACTTAGCAGCAAACTAAATGAACATTATTCTTCTGCATATGCTTTTTATAATAACTTTATTAAATTTTGGACGAAGACCATATGCTAAATATAATTACTTTTTCAAAATATTTTCGCTTAAGTACGATTAATTATATAATTATTTAGATAAAGTTCTACATTTGTATTTCAGGTTTCATGTACATTGTAAGTATTTTGTGATAAGAAATAACCATTATGTTTTGTAGTGTCTGTAATAATTGTATATGACATTGATTAGCATGTCCAAGACCACCGAAAGTGTACATTGAAGAGGAAATTAAGATTATTGTTTTCTCAGCTTGGTATTTATACATAGAAAAATGTTACCAACACAAATGATTAATAAATTTCCATTTCCATCTCTTATAGAATAGAAAAATAGATAAAATACTGAGAGAGTGAGAAAAGGGCAAACAGACCTTCACTGGAAAAAAAAATAACCTCAGACTGAATCACACAAGAAAAGCTTTCTCGATATTCATTTGATTATTTTTATTGACTCGTGTTTCATTTAAATTATTATTACTTTTTTCCAGATGTTGAAGAGCATAGTTTCATCGTTTTTAATGAGCATTTATTTGTTACAATTAAGAATTTTTTTTAATGCAATTAAAAAATACATGCGGTATTATCACTTTAATTATGTATAATTTTATTCACAAAACTGATTAGGATGAGGCAGCAGGCATAACCTATTTTATCCGATACACAATGTAAATATTAATAGACTGGACAGTCTGATTGATTTTTTTTTATTGCTCAGTGAAGATAACATTATTGACGGTATGATATGGATTATTTTGAATTTACAAGATTTCTATTTCAGATTTACAGATGACACGAAAAAAACTAAGTACTTGTTAAAATACATAAAAGTACCAGTTGTCTAGTAAAATCTTGTTTTCAGGATTGGTAGAAAATCACAATGTATGGATTTCGAGCACGATCGAGCAACAAATTTCAAAATGATGATATAAATATATATCAGTATAAATGTGAATTATTTTTTTTATATTGCATGGAAAAAATTATAATATTAAAAGATTATGAAAAGAAATCCAAAAAAGTCTTTATATCAATTTTTCTTTACAATCATATGAGTGAAAAATTCTCAAAAGGGACGGTAAACAATATACAATCTTAAGTCATTGTACACTAATATTAACAGAACATCTATATTACTTAGATTAGTGCTCATGATCTGAAACTTCAAAGAGGAAGATCAATAGTCTCAAAAAAATGTAAAAGATGCAATTTTTGTCAAATCGTTGATTTAGAAGACTAATATAACTTAAATGTTAAAAGTACGGAACTTTGCGATAAAAAAATACATTTAAAAACTATTGACCCCCAACCCCTGCCCTTGTATTTATGATTTTATTTGTTAACCAGTCTAAATACAAAGAAATTATGAAATTTTTAAAATTGTATATTCTCGAAAATAAATGAAGAAATTTTCATGGATAAAAAATGCCATGATTATTCCTTACTCGTCCATTAAATATTATGTCGTTCCGCTGTGATGCATGGAATATAAATATTTATTGATATAACAGAGATGAAAGTCTTTTGGTCCAATAAAAATATATAGTATTACTATTATAGATTTTTTTGTCACAGGAAGTACTTCTCGCACTGCCTGATTTTTTCAACAACTGTGGAATAATTATTTTTATTTAAATCGAAAAATCTAGGTTTTTGTTTTTGGATATTGATTACTTATTTTCTTGAAATATTTATGCACCGGTATTAGTTAATTCGTTGAAATGGCTCACAAAAATCAATTTCATAAAATTATTTTACAATGTAAAACACTGATTCTGGATTTAGTATTACATGAAAAGTGTGGGATATAGATTAGAAGTCAGTACTAAATAGGGACCCAATGAATTGGGCATATATTATATACAACACAATATATGATTACAGATAATGCAAAAAGTAGGGGAATTCTTAAGATTATAATAGATTGATATTAAAGTCCACAATTCTTTCATCAGCTGTTTCATATTTAGATATTTTACAAGAAAAGACATTATTGGTAATCTAAGAACAAAACTTTATGATAAAAGTGATGACTTCAACTTGATAGTCGGTCTTTTACATGCATATTTATTATCAATACACCCTTTACACCTGTATATAGAGCTGATGTTTCTCAATTGTTTCGATACGCAAGAGCATGCTTTACGCCAACAATTTCTACAATGATCCAAGATATTGACAAAAATTTCGGGGAAATAAGAATATCAACTTCTTGTTTAAATTAATTTTTTTGCAGATTCTATGTTCGATACAAGACCTTGTCAATAAATACAATTTTTCGTTAAATCGAAGGTTGACGAACGATTTTCATACAAATTTCTTGTTCATTATTTTCACACTGAATTGTTTATAATTACGGATTTTTCCATTTTCCGATCAAGACGAGGAGCACACGGCGTGTGTGACCGACCGGCAGGAGATGCTCACTCCTCCATGGCACCTAGCTGAACCAATCTCTGATGTTTTTAGATGCCCGTGTTCTACTTCCAATCTGTATTTTCATTGGACTTTTGAGCTTGACTATTGTTCGTTATCTTCATGTTGTCAGGACTTCAGATACTGATCACAGTCGTTATCTTGTAGAATTATTGTTATTGTTGTTTCAGTGAAATTTTGCTAAGTGGAATGCCTAGTCAAGGACAGGTGCAAATTTGTTTGCTCAGATGCAAAAGCAAATCTTGTTTGCTAAGAGATTCGTCTATGGCGTTTCTTGATAAAGATTATAAACTTTTCACTGAGCCCTCTACAGATGAAAAGATTGATCAATCTCTTTTTTTCAATTTTTGTTCAAAATTTAATTAAAAGTTAAAATTAACTGGTTCTTGACTGTGCTTTCTCCTTCTAATTTTTCGCTCAATGAAGAACAATTCGCAATGCCGTATATATTTCAAAGAATTCTCTTTCTCTTTACGAAGGCATTTTTATGGAAATAATGCTAACATTTTTAAAGAATAACAGATAACATATGAATGTATTCATATTATATAAAATCACACGAGAATTCTCTGCTTTACACACAGGTTGAAATGTTGATTTTTGTGATTGTCTTTTACAATGTTAATGTGCCGTATACACACGTGTTGCATTTTTGTTATTTTTTGATTGCCAAATACGTATACACACAGGTTCAGGATTGATATTTGTTATTGTCATATACACACTTGTGGATGTTTAATATTTGTGATTGTCATACCGGTATACACATTTGTTGATGTTTAATATAATTTTAATTGCCTTTTAATCATAAGTTGATGCTTGATATTTTTGATTGCCTTATTCAATTATAAACAAACCATACAAAGTGGATCCTCAGTAACTCTTAAGAACTTTTATAAACTTTAAATTTACTATTTTTTTTTCAAGTCTATATATCAAAACTTACAACTTTTCTACTCTTTATACAACAATTCCTCGCGATAAGTTAAGATCTCAATAAAAAACTGAGTTCGGAAATTTTCACATCTTAATTTGTCATCATCAAAAATAATTACTTCATTAAAAATCACTCTCATTGTACTCACGATTACTTTGAAGTCGATATAAATAAGATATGCTGAATTTCTTATTGTCGAGATTTATACAGTCTTTGGAGACCAAGACTTCCAACAATCTGTTATTTTTATTGTTTATAGATTTTTCTTTTAGATCAATCACGGTTCGTTGTCTTCACCTTTAACAAACGTTCTGATGTTTGATATTTTGATTGCCTTATAGATGCACTTAAATTAGTATTTATTTGATGTTTCATATTTTATTGCTTTATACAGTCGTGTTAATGTTTTGTATTTTTGATTGCCATTAACACACATGTTGATGTTTGATATTTCTGAATGCCTTCAAATTTTTCATACTTATTTTAAACACATATGGTGTGTACCTTATACGCATATGTTGATTTTTTTTTTATCGTTTTTGTCTGTGAAATAAAAAAAGGAAATAATTGTCTAGAAAGAAATGGCAGACGCATCATCATACAAGTAATGTGTTTTATGGCTACGGAGTGATAAAATAGAATGAAATAATAATAAAATTATATTTTTAAGATATTGACAAATGACTATCAAAATATGTCGAGAAGGCAATAGCAAAAAAATATTAAAATTCGTGTGTAAGACTGTAAAAAGTTTCAAAATGAAAGTGTTTAACAGAACAACCAACCATCTTTAATTTTTACATTGTAAATCACAACAACACTAATATCTGTGCGTCATGTTAACGAAGTAAAAACTTTTGAGTTTGTTGCATCACGCATATACTAGTATGTACTTTGAGTCAAGAAGATGCATGTATCATATGATTTTTAACCATGTACATGTAATCGACGCATGACCTTGGCAAGTAATTAAGAAAATTTATTTGCTAGTTTAACAAAGGGTTTTGGCAATCTATCAATGCTACATTTGTACACTACACTAAAGATTTAAAACAGAATACATCAACTAGGATTACAATTTACGAAATATACGTAAGGGATTTCCATCAATAAAAGCATTAACTTCCTTTTATTAA